GAAAGAGATGGTGTCTTCACATGATACTGCCGAAGAGACTGATGAGAAAACGTTGCTCGATGCAGAGGAAGAGGAGCGAAAGCTTCTTAGTGGCATCGCTCAGGTTCAGAGCAGACTCTTCGAGGGCAAGCTCATTAAACGCAATCAAAACAATCATCAGATTGCACAGGAGTGGCATGAACTGCAGAAACGGGCGCGCATAGACAGGACGGTTGTGGTAGATGGTATCACAGTCATCGCCGATCATATGGGCCAGAGCGCGGTTCGTGTGTGTTCTCTGCGGAAAGGAAGATGTACTGACTCGTACCTTTATCAGCCAGAGGAAACGAGTCCGGCCTCGAAAAAGAAGTCGAAAGCAAAGCACGAAACAGAGGATTGGTGCATTTATTGTCGAGATGGCGGCGACGTCATCCTCTGTACCTCGTGTCCCCGAGGTAAGACCGAACGAGCATGTGGTTTGGCTTGCTCTTGACACCAGATCACCAGTGTTTCACCCCAAGTGTCATGGTATCACCAAAGTGCAACTCCGCAGGCTACCTATGATTTGTTGTCCCCAACACAGCTGCTCAGCTTGCAATCGCTCCACCGCTGAAGCAGGAGGAATGCTATTCAGGTGCGTAAATATCCTCAATAAGGACCCAATCTAATATTGTGTAGGTGTCAAACATGCCCACAAGCGTTCTGCGAAGACTGTATGCCTGGAGGGGATATCGATGCCGTCGGCGAAGTGCTGCCTGAGTTGTAAGCGCATGATGATGTTCGACTGATCAGTTTCACCTAATGTATCTCTAATTCTCTAGTGTGTTGTTGGGATATGGCGCTACGACCACAGCTTATTACATACGATGCCATGAATGTCATGAACATTGGGAAAAGGAGCCGCGGGCCTGGAAAGCCTGGGAGGAGGAAATGGCTGAAACACAGGCGAAACTAGAATCCTTGCAGACCACATAGAGCATAAGGATGTCTTTACGTGCGTTTGATTTGGCATGCAGCCTACACTTTGTTAACTCACTACTCACAATTTTGTATGTATTTTAACATTGAGCGATGTGGTCTTTAGTAGAGTAATATCATGGACGTTGGAGAGCCGCGCCACAAAGTTCAAGTTTAGGCTTGGGTGATCGAAGTTTGGTTATTGGTCCCCGCAGTGTGACGTCACTCTTGGCTGCCAGTATAAAACCTCGTCTCCGCTCTGACACACTCGTCAACTCATCAAGAATGACGAGCAACTTACCACCGAAAATCGCACCTGTACCATCTGGCACGCCTCCTGCCCAATGGGCGAGCAAAACTGAGTCCATATTCCAGTCTGACGTTGTTACCCCTGATCCCGCTATGAGGACGACGCCCAAGCCTGGACAACACCCAGTCACAACCACGACGAACTTGAACACCCCAGGTCACGAATTTCCAGGCTCCTATCCCAGGGAACTCGAGCAAGAGCAATCCCGCGGCGATGCGTCTGAAGGCCCCACGGCTGGCGCCTCAGTTGTTCAAACCGCAAAGCAGTACATGCCGGAACCTGTGGGGCGAGCCGTCGACTATGCTAGTAAGACAGCAGCTGCATACATTCCTATCCCTCAGGGCGCCAAGAAAACAGGGACTTTCTACTGGTGTGCGTGTGCCCCCTATCTTGTGCTCGAGTTGTCCTGACGGAGTTTTATCAGCGAATGAGGAAGATCCTCAGCCTAAAGGGACTCAGTCTGAGTTGGACCAACATCTGTCTACTTCTCTTCCAAGTTCAGAGTTAAAGGGCGCCCAGCCTCATGAACACGTTGGCGGTGTTGGTTCCCTGCCAGGAACTATCTCAGAATCAAGCGTCGCCTTACTACCCGATGAACGGGCAGAGAAAGATGCTCAAAGACCGATAGCATTGGTAAAGGACGAGTCTCCAACACAAGGTGATAACCAGGCCAAGAGTGCCGCCTATTCTTCCGGTGCTGCTGCGGTTGCTGCAAAGCCAGAAGTAAGTGCGACCATGTTTCCACCTTGATGTCTCTTCCTTCTTTTCGTGATGAATATTTTTGGGCGAGTTGGTGCAAGCCATGGCGCACTGCAGCGCTGACTCGGCCCGGGAGATTGTAATGATGTGCATTGTCCGCGGATGAGGAATTGGGCTAGTTTGTTTTACTTCTCTTCTACATTCCTCATCCTTTCTGTCGTACTGCCTTTTGGCAGCTGGTGTATTCCTGATTTCGACGTGCTCGTTCTTGGTTTCAAGGGAGCACGTTGATTTCGCGGACCTATTGACAGGTTTGATTATGACCATACCGAGTCATTTCCTGTCATTCTACGGTCGTGACATTCAGTCATGACAATTTATGTATTTTCAATTTCCCCTCTTACTTTTCGGACTGTCCCTTCAAATGTTGATGTTTCAGACTCCAACACTTTTTGGGCACTTGCACTTGATGCGGGGACGGTTGGCTATGCCATGTTTATCTATCATATTCTACTTCGGGATTTTCTTGACAGTGTCACGCTTTGTTGTCAACCTCAGACTTGCTCGTTTGTCTATTATACATATTCCCTCCTAGTTGTTGTACTTGGAATCTGACGACGATTGTCCTCATTGTAGCCTTCTATTCTTTCGAAGGAGCTGTCCTCTCGGGCTCAGTCCAGCCAGTATGGGACGCAGATAGAGCCTCAACAACTGGACAAATCACCTACTCAGCAAACGGATCAGTATCCCGCGAAGCTTTCTGATCCAAAGCCTATGTCTATTGAGAACACTCCGAAGCACGAAGCGCTGAAAGAGCAACGTTCACACGAGACTGAGATAGCTGGTGTTGGCGGAACTGCCATAGGGGCGCTTCAAATACGTGATCAGCCACCAAGCAAGACAACAGAGAGTCAGGCAGCCAAAACTGCCGTTGCGGGAAGTGCAGGAGGCGCCGGTGAGTTGGCGAAGGAAGGTATGTGCATATCGATTGACACTTGTTCTATAAGCTAATTACGGTACAAGCGGGCGTCGAGGACGAAGCTCGCGATAACAAGGAAGTTCCAGCACGTGGTCGGGGAGCAACAGTGCTACAGCAGCCTGGGGATAAAGAGTTGACAAAGAACCAAGACGTCGAGAATAGGACGGGCGATGTAGGCAAGGCAACTGGTGACAGTGGTAGCGATGAGGGTACCAAACACACTCATAAAGCTGGAGCACGCACGGGAGGTTACGATACTGATTACCACCCGGCAAAGTTGCATCCGCCGCCCGTTGGTGAAAGCACGAGCCAGGCGAAAGCTCAGCCTGACTCTCCCGTGTCGCCGGCATCTGCGCCTCCAGCGAGCGTTACAGACAGCTCTAAGGAACATCGGGTGAGTTTCCTGGATAAACTCCGAGGTGAGGCTAAGGTAATCGCTGGGAAGATGACTGGCAAGGAGGATAAAGTTGAAGAGGGTAAACGAATGATGCATGGCGAAGTGTAAGCTACCGCGGAGTCGCGATTGTTTCCTAACGTGATTCAGTCTCTCGTTGTACACGCCAAGTGTTGTAATATCTAGCAGGCCTGATGAGATTCATCCTATAGCGTCGTAATATGATATCATTCTCTGCCAGTAAGCTAATCACGAGCCTTATCTGCAAGCCGAAGCTCTCCAAGACAACCGGTATAACGAGCAGTCTGATTGGCTGTGGTCAATTAGTTTAGGCATGAGTCACAACGATGGTCGGCGAGAAACGTATAGGTGATTGAAACCAGTGTGCCTGAACATATATGTCCGCACAGAAGGCTAGCCAATTGAGCATTTCCTCTTCTATGCAGGTGAAAGAACAAATGAAAAACAGTCCGCGGAAGGAACTCAGCTGGCGTCAGGCCGAGGCTACCAGAAACTCGTCGAATGAAACTTTGAAAGGGCACAAATGACCTCTTCATGACCCGGGCATCATTAATATTAACAACTATCGCAGGCATTCATTCAAAGATCCACGGAGACATGATGATAAGAGAATAGTTACTCACTGAAAGCCGAATTCACGAACACAAAGGATGATTGAACTTCAGGGCCCCGATCCTGGTCGGTGATTCACACATTGACAAGCAAGCATGGGACAACCCGCCACAAATGTTTAGGACGATATTTTAGAGCAGTGAATTTAGCAGCGTTCGAAAGTAGATGAAACTCGCTATGAGGCCTTAACTTTAGAGTTGATGTCCCGCAATTTCAACTTCAACTTAAGCCTAGATATTATGTAATCGAAATTAATACGAATCCGCAGTGATGACATAGAGACGAGGAAATTTTCATATAGCATCCTGTTTCTCGCTGCGGACTCGTCAGATATTACTCATTCATACTAGTCAAGTTGGGGTATCCCAGGATCAGTCCGGGTCTGTAGTTTACCTGCTCCATGAAGTTCCCATAAGCTACATCGGCTACTTGTGACCGTCGTTGTCTAGACCTCGGCTTATCTCCAGCGTGGTAGCGCAGCATAGTCGCGTGTACAATGTATCGTCCACGTCATGAATCGAGTACAAGGGCAAAGAATGGATCTGAAGAATGCGCACGGCATCTGGACCCACAAATTCAGATGGAAATAAAGATGTGGTATCACAAGAAGCGCACTATCGTCACTGGCATTGTCGCCACATGCTCTCGAAGCCACAAATGACTCGTACAGATTTAGACCGAGCGCAAAAAGTGAAGAGACTCAATAGAACAGGATAGAACGCCACGGCGCTGGAGATGGCCGAGTATGTTAAACATCTAAGCGAGTGTGGAGGCCAGCGCTATTAGCTCTAGGCTACGCTCGCTTCAGCGTGCGAGTGATACGGTTGTAGACTGAATAATTATAATCAATCATGTGAAAGATGTAACTCTGGTATACCGGAGCTGGACCACGTAATTGCCAACGTAAAAGCTCGTGAACAGAATCCCTTTTCTTTTCTACCCTGCCTACTTTGAGTGTGAGGCTTGACGCTGCGTGGAGACCCACGGAAATGAAATATCCATTACCTTTGTTCTGGTTTTTGGGACTTATCCGAGGACCAAGCGCTGATGTGTTCTTTACAATGCCTTGTCACGCCGGCCGTTGGTACGGTCGGGAAGAGTATGGATACAACAAGAGATAAGTGAGTAAGGTTACCAAGGGACAAAAATGAATGCAGGATATCTATAATGTCTGAGGCAAAAAAAACTGTTCGGGACGAGAAGGGGGGGAAGGACTATAATACGACTTTGAACTTATTAAGTACTCGTCTGTCTTCCGCGGATAAGGGGGTATAAGTCGTTGTGGAGGGACGTCCGAGTTGTACAGATTGTGAAGGATGATGTTGTCGAAATTCTGGAGTATCACGTAGACCAGTTAGAATCGAAATGCTAGGCAGGGACGTCTCTGCACGCCCAGGCCCTATGGCAGCGCCTGGTGATGGCAGAGGTCTTGAATGATGCTTGGTAGGAGATAAAGGCATTGATGATGACGAGGAGGAGGAAGACATTGGGGATCGGGGAATTCCTTGCAGCATAGAATGCTGACTTGTGTGGCCATGTAAATGACCTGCCGAATTGTATGGCTCCATTCCATCACTTGTATAAGAGAAACGATCGGTGCGAGATCCGTTGGCTTTGCTAGAGACGAAGACGCCACCCAGAACTTTCAAATTTCGAAGGTAATCGTAACTCTCGATGACAGGAAGTTGAGCATAGTCATCCCCCTGTTGCGATAATGAGCAAGAGTTCTTCTTGGATCGTGAAGACTAAGCTTACTGTGAAGTATGCGACGACATGCCATTTACGCGGGAGACTTGAGCCCGGAAGGTAGACTAATGCGGAGTAAGTTTGTTTTGTCAGACCGTTTGGACGATTGGGACGATCTTTTCGTCTGTTTGTTGGAGGAGCCACGGCGAGTGGATCCGCAGTACGAAGCGCCCTACGATGCAGTGAGTACACTAAGAAATATACCGATTCAAATGGCAAACCTTAAAGCAGCTTTAGCATCTTTCTCTTCCTGAGTTGTCTCCATCTTCTCCTCGTAGAATAAGTAGTCACCACGCATCCGACTTTGCGACCTAGGAGACACAGGTCATGACAACATCTACGTAGAAGGCAATGTTGAATACCATCTACGTCCGTCTGTCCAGCGTAGGAGTCCTCCATCGTTCTCAGCCTCCTCCCAGACGAAGACGTTCCCAGAGGATAACTGATCTCTTTCTGAAGCAGTAAGTCGCCGCTTGATCAACGGTAACATATTGAGGCGCACGGCCTCGAGGACGACGTGCGCATCTTTGGCATCCCGGACATCTTTGTAACTCGTAAGACGGAGCCATTAGGGAGGATATGACGACTCACGTAAAGCAGGATGCGTCGGAGGTCCGTTGTGGATAACAGGTGAATTGGAATAGTGCGCCATTTTAAGTATGATCTGAAATAGTGATCAGACCACCATTCAAACGAGAGGGTTTTATAGTCTCAGGCAAGCTTTCCATGGACACTAAGCGGGAACGGAGATCTCGAACAACGTGGATAACAAAGTCCTGACATGAGACGAACAAACCTTGTTTCGATGACCCACAACCAGGTACCCGCTCCAAAGCGTTTCGCGCGCTAAGTTCTTCCTGTTATAAAAACACCCCCTGCACCGATCAGCCGATCGTCCAAATAGGTAGAGAAGATAGATCGGCGAACATTCTCACATACCAAAATCAAGTGGTCGGCAAAGTTCGTGTGATATTATTTGTCTTCGTAATCAATTCCAACGACTCAGCGCATGGACTATGTCCTAGAGAAGGTCATTAGACGTAGCTAAGTTGAGTAACATGTTGCCACACACAAACACGGCATCCGAGTCCTGCATGAGAGTGGGTTGCAACTTGAGTAGTCATCCACGTAGATTCCCCACGAATAAAGTCGGATAAATCAGGCTGCCATTGAATAAGCATGCCGAAGGGGTTTGTTCCAACAAAGTGACATGCGATTGACATCTTCTGCCGCGATCATATCATTGAACCACCGTCCTGATTGATTGGTCCTTGCGTCAAACGTCCAGAATTAGGACCATCGCGGCAGAACACGCCTAGCGAATGTCCTCATAGTCTGTCAATTTTGTCATTATATGATGCCAAGTGCAGTCCCAACTGGTCTGCTTACCCCTGAATAACGACTTGAATTATGTCGAAGGTGTTCGACCAAACAACGTGTTGCTATCAATCCATGTTTGGAACGGTAGCATTATTGAAGGAGCTGACACTGCGATAATATGGCTGAATTGGTGTACTCCATGGCTTCATCTGAGAAAGATTTACCGCGCTGAGGTGCGCCGAGACACATCTACAAGTTACAATCAATCTGAATTGTGATGAAAAGCGAACAGGTTGAGCAGCTTAATAATCACCATAGCGTACAGTTGACGTGAGAACCCGATGCAGGGTGCGCCGGTTTTTCCTCGTGACTGGTAGGGTTATTTCTGAGCAAAAGACGAAACCCGAGTACTTCTGGATTATGAGACTGCGGTTGGAACATTCTACAGAAATTACTTCCGAGAAAAAGCTTCGCGCCACAATAGAATTTAGTTCTTCATTTCAAGCTCCGCAGCAAACTTGGAATAGACTTCCGCAACAGGGGCATGGTAATTGAGTTCACTTCGTGATTGTGACTGCGGTATGATATTTAGGATGAATGGGTAGCTGGCCTAAGGCTGCGGACAGGAATTTAGGTGACGTAATTCATCCGGTCGAGTGACACTTTGCCCAGAACCAGCACTTGGAAAAAGGGACATGAGAACATGTCGAAGCTCACTGTGAGGAATTAAGCGTTCCAAAAAAACAGTTTCGAGCCGGGAAAGGGACAACGAATTAGGCGCTGCTACCGCTTGGTTCATCGTTCTCTCTAAGACCGCCCCCCGATACATAAGTGAGTAGGCCAAAGGTAGTACAGAATCTTGTGCGCCGGCTTGCCTGCGCAGATACATATTCAAATTTATCCTGATGATGACAGGTGTCTCACAGCAGTCCGAGTCATCATCAGCAACCCTAGATGTGGCTGGGATCAGTGATAGGTACATTTATATATGTCATAGGTGAATGCGACTGACTCATCTTCTTTTCAGACTTCGTCTAAGTATCTTTACCATGATACGACTGGCGATCGGCTGTCACCCTGACAGTTGGAAAACATGACATTGTCGCTTAGACTGTCGCGAGTATCAGCGAATGTCCCAGGGCCCAGGGGACATCAAACTCAATTGGTACGCCTAAAGAGAGGTTGCATAATCTTGCGTAATGAATTCGGCTGAAGAGAATGTACTTACTATCATGCCAAAAATAAAGATGATATGGGAACAAGTAAAGGGCAGTTTCGTTGCATCTTGGTCTTAATCCTGGGGTTCTACGAATTCCATTTACATGTCGGAAAGAGAGAAATACACCATCCGGAATGACGCTGTCCGAATAAAAAAATTATTGGCTGCCGCGGCAATATGGCGCCACAATGTTGCAGAAATCTAGTGACCCTGCAATGCATCCGAACCAAGGTGATTAGTCAACAACTTTCCATTGCAACATTATCGGGATTAAATGATAAAGGGTGCCGCACATTTTACCAGGCGTACCGCATCCGCTAGTCGTTCGTCGGGATCTGTAGAAATTCGCACCGAGGTGGGACCTCCACGGGTCTATGTCTAAGGTGTATGACGTAGAGCCTGAATAAAACCAGTGACCATTGGTTGTTTGAACTACAAAACTCGGTCCCGAAGCTGACACACATTGATAAACCAATAGACTACTCGAGATTAGACTATGCTGCTGCGGTCACGGCCGGCGTACGTACCAGTATTCCATGACCATGAGGAATGTTATATAGCATGCGAGTGCCGTACAACCATTTTAGAGTGCGAGCTAAGTGCCCTTGGTGGCGACGGAGAAACAAAGAATGCTTGTTGTCCCGGGTCGCGAGCGATAGTGTCCGTGGAGTAAGACTCGGGGGCCATGCTAACGTCGTAAGGACGACCGGTGATAGAGGAAAATACTTAAGCCTCGCCATGGGACAGACTCAGAATTCATGAGAATGAGGGGGACGAAAAAGAAGCACTTAAGAATTGTGCCTGCCAGTGCGCGCGCCGGCTCTGCAGGGCCGCCATCAAAAAACCACACACCAGACACTCGACCCTAAGTACTTACTTTCGTTGTTCGATTTCATACGTTTCATATAGGGCCGAGCCTATAGGCTGAATCATACCAAGTAGTGATGGTGATGATGTGTAATTACACCTGATGCGATTGCAAAAGCAAGTTTGGTTGGTTAAACTTACGTAAATGTCCACACTCGGTTTGATTTTGAATTAACGGCTTGCCAGTGAGCTACTCCGTCAAAGCGTCGGCGACCTTCTGTGCACTACTTTCAACTGAACGGAGACACAGCTGGTTGATATGGAACGAGGTGAGAATACTCTTAGCAGATTCTCAAGTTATGTTCTCACTAGTACCATGATAATTTGATAAACCATGACACGCCAGGTCATGGCGGGCTCAAAGTGACGTCGGAAATGGAGGACATCCTCAAGCAGCCAGGCTATATTAGCATTAAAATGGGTAGCGAGAAACTTAGGAGCATGTTTCAGACACGTGAGTTCCTCGGATTTTGAGTGACGGCTTATAGCTGTCACTCTCCAGTCCATCTGAGAACAACACTAACGCCGAGCATGCAGAGTTCGGCGAACTGGATATTAATAAACTTTCACCATTCGCATTCGCATGCATGACTGGGCAAATTCAAGACGTCAAAGCTGTTCGTCTCTATCTCTATGTCGTGGCTGAAATACTGATTCCCCAGTTAAGGCAGTCACTGGAGGGTTTGCTCCAGATATAACAGGAGCTGAAACGCCCTTCAAAATTGGTTTTCTTTCTTTTACTGTTCTCGGCGCACAGCGAATCAGAGGAGCCGCTCCAAATTCTCTCAAGCATCTTGACGTTATCAATTACCTCCTTCAGTACGGTGCACCACCGGATTCGCCGGATATATCCGGTCACACAGCCCTCCACCATGCATGTACTCCTCCGCTTGGACATCTTGAACTCGCCAGGGCACTTCTCAAAGGTGGAGCTAACCCGAATGTTCAAAACCGTTATGGTGAAGTTCCTCTCTTCTTCCCATTCCAGGGACAAGACATACCGATCCTAGATTTGTTAATGGAGCACAACGCTGATCTGGACATTAAGGACGGAAATGGTGATTCTCCCCGTGCGTTATGTGTTGTATTTGGCCCCCAAGTCACGGCGGCGGTTCGCCGGTGGGAAAGGAAGCGATCAGGGGAGAAAGCACTATGGGAAGAGAAGGAATGCGAGTACTGCAAGAAAAAAGGGAAAGGCCTGAAGCAGTGTGCACGGTGTCACACAGTCCGATATTGCTCGTCTGACTGCCAGCGTAAGCTACTGCCATGTTCATGTGTTTTACTGACACGCGATTTATGCTAGGTATGCATTGGAAAACCCACAAACCGTTATGCCAGCCATTCTCCACATCAACCACGGTCACGCTGAAGCCAAGCTATAGCAACTTCTCGTCTACAATATCTCGTGCTGATTTCACTCGCGAAGCTCTTGGCCTTTCGAGTCCCAAGTCCAAGCCGTCTAAAAACGCTCCGTTTACCCAATTGTCCTTTGATCAGAAGTCTATGATCATCAAGGTGCAAGTACCCGTAGATCCGTTCTCTCCGACTGCGACGTCAATGGGTCTGGGCGGCTTGCTAATATATAACAAAAAGAAAGATTTCATGTGCACTGTTCAACGAGCTGGAAACACAAACGCGTATGATGATATCGTCCGCGTGGTGAAATCCAGAGGCGTTGGAGGGGTAAAGGCTTATTTCGCTGCTGAACTGCGAACTCGTGATGAGCTGGTTGTAAAGATTTCTGAAACTTTAGCGGAGCAGCCGTTCTAGATGGCTTTCAATATTCTCTACCAGCGCAATTCTCCGTTTCTTGGTGAGAATCTCCCACTTCTTGGCAAGGGGTGACTGCCGCTTACACTGGATCTCATGAGCAGGAATCATTGTTCTCGTCATTGTGCCACAAATGGTCAATTCTACTTATTTCAAAAGATAATCACACTCGTCACACGGCAATATCAAAATACAATCGGGGCGAGTAGATAACACACAAAATAACTTGTACATCAACTCAAATTCTCTAATCGAATACGTCGAATTTTCCGATAGTGACAGTGCCAACGAAGGCTAAAACTGTGGGTGTAGCCATGCTCATGATATATTCTCCCACTCCACAACCAGTTTTGGTCAAGGGTACGCGAATAAGAACATGGAGGACTTCAAGTTGTGAGCTCCTAGCTTACCGAGTCTTTCTCCTTGGTGATGTCGCATACGAGGTGTTGGGCCGTCAATGGTACCATCAAATGATCCGAGATTGATGGGTACATTGTCTACATGGTGGCGTCGTGCACGTGGGGAATGAGCCTCGCGTGAAATTGCGGCTTACGCCTTACGCAGTAGGATAGAATGCGGCGCACATCATTTACAATGTCGTGATCCACGAATGGAACAACTGAAAATGAAGCACCTCTACCCCAGGGTTTGGTACCTACGGGTAAGAGCGTGCGCATAACGCACAGCATAGCCTACAAGCGACCGACTGACATCGAGGGAAACGCGCAGATAAGTCGGACAGCTTCCAACAGTGTCAGAGTTCCTGATATCAATTTGCGAAGGTCAGTTCGCTAAGGACAATGATGTCGAACGTCATAGCCTCGCACAATTCCGTTTTATTCCGCTCATTTTATTTTTACAGGCAATTTGCGATTGACAGACTGTGATAGTGAGAGAAATGAAGATGTGTTCTAATTGAGGTCGAGCGGTTTTTTTCCGACGTACAGTAGGGAGCGCTGAGATTAGAATATGAACGAGGCAGCTCGAAGGCTCAGCGCTCGAAGCCCAACGCCGACAGTCATGGATGATGAATTCCTGTAGACATTGCCCACCGAAAATACATACTCGGGAGTATCGAATGTGTGTGTTTCCTTTTTTTGCTTCGCGATTTCTGTGTATGCCATAGTCGGCCCTCTGCTGCAAGGGCTGCGAGAGCAACGTCGATAAGTTCGTCGTCATCGTATTCTGCTGTAGCCAGTTATGCAATAGCAAGGACTTCAAGCTGCTTAACTACAAACTGATGGTGCTTCAGTATTCAGTACTCAATGGCCGACTTCTGAGACGTCGTAAACGCGCCATGAACGAATGGTGTACGATGCATTGACTCATGATTCAAATATTCAAGTTGTACTAGAATCCCCGCGCTCGTATTATTGAAACTCCGCGACGCACTTGTGACGTCACGGTGTGACCCATTCTTTTCCTCGGTCGGACATGGACCAAAAAATCCTCAGGTCCGACTCAATTGTGCACCAGCCCATGTATGCATTGACTGTTCGCTGCCATTGACACTTATACGCACCACACATTCCCACAAGTCAAATTCGTAAATGTGCTGTATCGAACTCCAGAGCTCCACACACGTAAGTGCTGATTGTACACAAAACACCTTTTTTGCCAAATTGACGTGTAAGGGACCAGCCCTAAGTAGTAAGTAAGCTGCCTAGCATCGAGCATCGAATTTGTGCTTGGAAGGTTGTGGTATGTCCCTATGTACTAGATTATGAAGGTGCGGCGTAGCGGGTCCCTACACAACATTGGCGGCGATTATTACACCATGATGCACATCGATCATAGATCAGTGATCTGGTAGCCATGAATGTCATCAACAAGCCAAAATACTAATTTGAAATCCTGTGCGGTCCGGGGTTACCTGTGTTTAGTATAAATGGATTTGCTTGAAGCTTCTTCCATTGTTATTGTTCGATGCCCACTTGGTACTAACTCAACACTGACTTCAAGCAATTCTTTCTGCTACGATGGTCATCAGCTCCGTGCCATATACGATTCGTAAGTGCCGCAATATTATTGTGCTGTGACATGTATGAACAAGTGTGTGGTCAACAGCACAGGACATTGTGAGCCCGTACAATTATGTCCCTACAGAGTGGATCTGTATTTCTGTGAGTCATATCATCTGGAGCTCTCACTGTACATTCCTTTCACATTTTTTTTAGTTCGTTGTGTTGTATAGTGTTTCAACTGGTATGAATTTCTACTCTTGACGGTGCATAGTCGTGTCATAGCTTGACACCTTCAGCCATCCATATGGTCCAGGCGCTCAAATATAAACTCTGGTGGATGATTCCGACAGCGACCTTTGCGGGTATCCTGGAAATATTTGGATGGAGTGCCAGGTTATGGTCGAGCCAGAGTCCTGAGCTTTTGACGCCTTTTGAGATGCAGTGAGTCTTCATCGAGAAGGGATCGCTCATACACAAACTCGAATGTTTTCGATGCAGGCTCGTCGGCACGGTTCTAGCACCCACTCCACTAGTTGCAGCTAATTTTATTATCCTTGGCAAAATAATCAATCAATTTGGACCCCAGTTTAGCCGTCTGACCCCATATATGTGTTGGTGTTAATTTGATATATTGGCTGTAAGTTACTGATTTGGCACAGATACCGTGGTTTTTTGCTCATTTGTCAGTACCACACATACAAGTGATGCCAACATTTCATATTCTCCGGTTCATGTAGGATGCTGTTTGCTTGATCGTACAAGCTGTCGGAGGCGCATCCTCCGCACAAGCCGTTAATGAGAACAAAGACCCCGCATTGGTAAGTGCCACTTCTAGTACCTTGTGGCATTCGCTACATGCAGACAGGGCGGGAACATTATGTTAGGAGGGATTTCTGCTCAACTTTGTGCGTGATGCGCGGCGCTGTGACCCTTCTCTCACTGACATTCATTCCCTTCGCTCTTTAGTTGCTATATTGGTCTACATCAGTTTGGCGGCCGAGTTTTTCTTGCGTCGGATATACAATACACCCTTCCGCCACCAGGCTATGAAATTTGGGAAAGACCAACTCCCCATGAGTAAAAATGTGCATCGCATGATTTTTGGGATGAGCTTGTGCACCATCTGCATTTTCATTCGGTCAGCGTTCTGCACATATCGTTATCAATAGTTACAATGCGCTAACTTCGTCCTTAGATCCGTGTACCGCACAGTCGAGCTCGCCGATGGGTGGTTCGGGGTAGTGATTGCGAATGAGTCCTACTTCAGTGCGTTGCGGCACTATCTTCACATGTTGCCGACAGAATATTGATTGTCAATAGATTGGTTTGATGGGGGTTTCGTCGCCGTCGCTATGTATACTCTCAACGTTATCCACCCAGGTATATATTTGAAGTGAGATGATGCTGTTCATACTTCACTGCGAGACGAAGACGATGATTGCCTTTGCGACATATATCGTAGATAGTTCCACTTCAAGTTGTTGCTACGTAGTAGCATATTAGTCACGATTTGACGTGGTGTACCATTTGCTTCATGCTCTGCGGCTGTATCTCTGCAATATTGATGTTTTGATATCCTACAGTCATTAGGAATTCCACGCAGTGTTTTTCCGGCCGCCGACAATTCGCAAAAGTCAGTGAATGGTCCCCATGACTGCGGCCCGAATGATAAACGTTTAAACTGGCTGACTACCTAGAACATTACATAATCCCATCCGCCTGCCTAAATGCATCAGTTTTTCTCATCCAAACTTTCATCCGCCCGTGGAAATTCCGCGTCATCAATACCCTTGGCATCTAAATTCAACAGCTGATATAACTCAATCCAAGCCTCGGATGCAGCCATTTGGTAGAAAGATCCCAAGCCAATTTTGAGGACGAGAGAAATCAAAGAGATCTTCCATAGGAATTCGCTGGAAGTTGAGCAACTTGAGCTTGGATTAGCAACTGCCACCATGCCATGGGCGGCCCTAGTAAGTAAACTCGTCTTCTGGAGTCATGCGAAAAGGTTGTGCCGACTGATCGGCCTTGCTGGTTGTATTCTGGTAGTAACGCCATTTGAGGTGCTTCCTGATAAATCCTGCATGCTTTTTTTTTCCTCGTGGAGGTACACCTTTAGCCTTGCGAGTAGCATCAAACTTTGAGTAGAAAGCTGATTTTGCTATTTCTTGCACTGAGAACCAGGGCAAGCCATATAGGTGCGGATGATTGAAGATCCAACACTAGATATTGTTTCTTGACATTGGTTTAATCTCACCTCGTTAATGAAAATAAGCTTATCTTTGCAGGGTAGTAAGATACAAGGATACAAGTAAGAGTAGACGAGTAGTCAAATTGATGAAGGATGAATAATAATGATGATGGCCAAGTACGAAGCATTCTAGAATTCTAGCCCATGGGGCTAGGTCGGCAGGCAAGGAGCATATTACAATCATGCACAGCAAAACACAAACATATGCATCAGACTTCGCCCGAGTTAGCTATCTTCATTTCCGTCGTTAATTGATCAGATAAACCGAAGAAGCAGAGTAAAAACTCACCTCGTCGATATCTCCACCTGGAATCGATTTTACGCGGGCACGAGGGGAGACAGTGCTGGTGGTCATTTTACTCTGCGTGCCTGCACTGTCGCTTGAGGACTGCAGGCCAGTTAGGTTGATGGTGTTGACACGGAAACTAGTGCCGTCATCGTGAGTGTGGTTGTGCCCTCGTAAGGCACTTCGGCTATTCAGGGATGCAAGAAGGGAATTGGCATATACTACAGAATAAAAGGGTGAGGACCCCACGTGTTATCACCCGATGGAGCTGCACTCACGCTTTCCGATAACGAAATCTATCGCGATGAACCACAGACTACCTGGGCTGATGGCAAACTGTGCGGCAAACAAATATCAGCTTTAAAGTATTGGCCTAACTCGTTCGCTTACTGCGATAACTTCGGCCACGGCCACGGCTCTAGAATATAAGAAACGAGGTGAATAACATCACCCATGTCTATCAGACAAGAGACATACGAAGTCAGTAGACAACGATTGATAGCGTATACCATCAATGTATGAACAAGTGCATGGGTCCTAGTGGACAATATCAATCTCAGCGATGTCAGCAATGCGGGATCGAGACCTACTCGACATAAGAACCACGATTGCCATGGAGAAGAATGCACAGTGAAACAGCAATGAAGACGTCGGACAAAACAGCAGTGACAGCGAAAGGCGTAGCAGCATAGAGCTGAAAACTGTCAGTAGGACACCCAGTCAAACTAGTCTTTCAGCATACAGTGATCTGCGAAAGCGCGCTGAATTCCTTCTTGATGAACCTGAGAGAATTCGTTACATTTGATACAGATTAAAAGAGAGTACTCGCATGAGAATGACTGTCTCTACTTTGGCTCAGCGCATCGTGTGAGTAAGATGAAAAAGGGAAGCCCACCTAATCCAAAGGCTAAGTCTCGGATCAATGAGCTGTTTAGATGAGTCATATACGGAGTCTTACCGAAGTGTGCGATAACGAACAACATCTTGAGATGACGAGACACCGTTCAGTACCAAACCAGCATATGAACACGAGAGCTTCAACTTCAACTTACAATAAAGGATGTCAGCCACCATCGGATATTGGAACGGGTTACTACCCCAGAAAGATTCAAGACATGCAAATGAACTAAAACAAAACGCTTACGGTAGGATATTCGAAAAGTAAAGTACCTGACAAAGACATTCAGGATACAAATCTACAAACCACTGATGGAACTGCCACGCACGTTTGCACGAGCACAGCCATGCAAAGCTACTTCCAATGTCAGCTTCAGGATGACTCTCAGATGGAAAAGACTTGCATTTAGAGCGAGCGATGTCTTCAATTCCCATATATCAGACGTCGAATTACACAACGCTAAGCACTCACGAAAAGGGACCTGGGATGCACGACTCAGCACTGGATCATTGCGGTCTTCGGGAAGTACATACCAAACTCCAGTTCCAAGGTTATTCGGGTCATCAAAACTCGTTACCTATACTGAATTAAAATCGTAAACGTGATGATCCGATTGTCAATGCGCACAAGGTAGTAATACAGAGCATGACACACTTGGACGGGGATCAATTCAGTAGATGTCAATTGAGACGCCAATCAACCACTCACTAAAGGAAACGTGCAAAGTGTCTAAGACCCTGCAAAGCAATCAGGAAAGCACATGCCATCAAACACGAAGAAAATCACCAGATGAACGCAACCTATAACACGTTCGTAAAAGGTCAAAATCCAGCATAAACTAGATCTGACATACCAATACTTTCACACTATTGGGGTCACTGGGATAATACACATAATACAAGTATGTCTTGCAAGGTTCGCAGATAATCAGTGAGCATTACCACTTTCAACAGACGAAATATGACATACCTGCAGAGTCGTGATACCATACAAGCTATTGTCCAGTTACAATGTCAAGTTCTGGCGGAAGAAGACAGATTCTTGACGCACATGGCAGTCACCATACCTCCGATGAACCCTGCGCCTGAAAGAGGGTCAACTACTCCCCTAGGGACAAAGATATGAACAAGATACTCACCAAACGTATCGTGAATATCCACCGCCATAGCAAACGATCAGTATACAGAGAGATGAAGAAGAAAACGTTTTTGAAGGGGCTGTATACCACAAGGCATTTATGATATGGGGCTCAGGTCCCAACAAATCAAGAATCCACGATGGGGGAAGCCTGAGGAACGAGCTTATCCAAAGATATTAAATCTTTTTTCGGCGCGATTTGCACGGGGTCCAGCCCTGTCTAGCCGGATCCTAGGTCATCAGTAAGTTGGCGCTTAATACCCACTTGCCCCTGCCAAAGTAAGAATAACGCTCGCCATTGACATTTCCTCTCATCGTCGGGAAAACCCTCACCTCATGGCCTTCATAGTGTCTTTGAATGCTGGACTTGGCTGGCTATGCATTTGTTGTGCGCAGTCGCCGAAAAATCAACTGCGCTGATCATCTTCAGTATCTGATGCCAAGCCAGTTGTTCTCAATCGATGGATGGCAGAGCACCTGATTCCATCTCACTGCGTGTGAATAGAAGGTTGACCAAAGAAAGGTGACCCCCCAGGAAAGCACCTCTTTGACCCCTTGATAAGTGTCGCAGAGCCCGGACACCCTTGTCACAATCAATTTTTTTTGGTGGAGTCGTGGGCCGGTTATTAGCCTAAATTAGCCTGCTGCCTCTGCCTGCCTGCCATTATCTGAGTTCTAAAACATGATTGTCAATGCCGTTACTTGGTATGACACTGGGCGGAATGACTCGGAGAAAGGTGATGCCCGGAGGATGCCCGATAGCTGGATTGCCACTTACGAAACACAGCAAGAACATCACATGAAATCCGCTCACACTGCGGTCAGTACCTTTCGATGTAACGAAATGCAGCTAAAGCGGAGCAGTCTTGCACAACCTGCAACATGTACTCGATCATTAATATATGCGTATATCCATAGTGTGTATTCACACAAAGTTGACCAATAACTGTCCACTATGTCACCATATCCGCGCCACCACAGGGTTTCTGCCGTGTGTACACCGCAAGGTGCAATCAGCACAGTGCTTATGTAACATCCGAATACCCAGGAGGTGGGTCCGAAATGAAGATATTGTTTCCTTTGACGTTGATGAAGGAGTACTGTGGGACTGGTTAGTCGATATGCAGGAACGTCGAGGCACGACAAACCTCCGCGAGATCCGTGTCCTTTCCTCGGTTGTAGTTCTGGTATACGAGGTTTATCTGAATAATACGATGTTGGATAGGATGTTGGATGCGCAGATCAGTACGCACCTCGTTCATAAATGGTCTCAACCCAGCTTGCTCTAGCATCTCCCACCAAGGCAAGAAATCCTCAAATTTCTTGTCCCAGGCATGAATCTCGACTATAAGCTGTCCAAATGGTAGTGGTTCCCCAGACGAGATGTACGGCTGGATGATCTGCGAGAGTGTCTCAAACTCCCAACCTTCTATGTCGATTTTGAGTAAATCAATATGATCATGCTCTGATTAGAACATTTTATTAGCAAGAAATAGAATGGAGATAAAAGCGCATACGAACTGTTAATCTCAAGCAGTGTCTTGAGAGTATATAGCTTAGGATTATTGTGCGACTCATGAGCATCAAAGTTGGCGAGGCCCCATGAAAAGAAGTGTGTACGGTAGTTGGGCTTGATGTGGGATCCAAACGAGTTGGAGCGATAGTCGTATCCCCAGACTTGACAGTGCCGCGTCCGTTCAAGGAGCTCTGCTTCGAATGTCGTTTCATAGTTCATACCTACGCATTGTGTAAATGAGTGCGAAATGAAATGAAATGGACAGGCACACCGAAAGTGTATATGATACAGTCGGGTTTGTGCTCCAGTCGGGATATGCCGCATGCCCACTTTCCGCCATCCCCTAGTGCACCTATGCGCTCTAGTTCGTGCGGACAGTCGAAAGACGGAGGAAAGAAGCTCCCTGAGAATGTTGGTAAATGCCTAATGGCAAACGGAAATCTTCATCGACCAAACTCACAGGCAGTGTATGCTGGCCATGGATCCTTGTCTGGTGGAAACCTGAAACGTCTTCAACCCTCCACAACAGGACTAGTGAGCTAGCGGAACGTACATGACAATATCGCGAGAGCTTGTGCCATATCTATGTATTAGGTTCTTGCGACCAGCTATTACTTTCTGATAGACCCTTTCTGCTCGTTCAAGTCGTGCTGGAAGGGTACTGTCACGGATATAGGCAGCATACGAGTTGGTGGAGAGCGGAGATTCGTACGGACTTAGTAGGAAGAAAGTTGTTGTCAGAACCAAAGCCACGATGAGGAAATATCGAGGATGTCTCTGCCAGACTGCAGGCATGACGAAGGTTGACGATTAGGCGGCCGGTAACGACAGGACTGAAGGGTATGCGCTGGCGTGAATGATATGTGGGGAATAATGATAACCAGCAAGAGTCGTGTAACAACGCGCTGGCACTAAAAGTACATGCAATCAGTCAACATGTTCTTCAAAATTGTGACTGACACTCACGCAGGCTACAGAAACTTGTAGCTCACTGTTGGCTCGCCGTAAGATATTTTTGAAGTTAGTACGCACAGTACATAGACCACTGTTTTCACTATAGGCGACGTGGCAACGAAATCTCCCAGTGACTTAGATTACGATAAAACATCTAAAATGGGTTTAGATCAGATTGATCAGGAACAACCCTTGGCAAATTCTGCTTGCTCACTAATCCCACCATGTCCTCCATTAGTGATCAGGAAACTATCTACACTCATTCTACTAAAGCTCCTTTGAGGGAATCATGCCATTTGGTAAGTTCATTCAGTGTACCTATATATCCTCGTCGACATATGATATCTATGTACAGCAAAACCAGATGAATCAAGGTGATGTATCTGATAGCGACAACCAAGTGCTAAAGGAGAGGCTAAAAGTAGCTGAAAAGATGTTGAGACTCAGGGAGGATCAGGTTATAGCACGAGAGGAAGGTCTGACAACGATAGAAGAGGGTCTGAGGCTGCGTAAAGAGGATTTAAAGTTTCGGGAAGAGGATTTGAACATTCGAGAAGAAGAATTGAAGGTACGAGAAGATCGTTTACTCATGCGAGAGCAGGAACTTGAAGAAAGGAGTCGTAGCGTATGAAAGGTTTACACTCAGTGAATTCATCCTTGGCGCAATTTCATCTCATGTCCTCTGCAGCGGCGAGCACAGTTCTAGAAACACATGATGCTTCGTCGAACTCAAATGTGAGCTTCTATTCGGGCCGTCATATATCATATTTGCAATTAACCACTGCATTGTCAACGACTGTGAACCACCTGAGGTTTACTCTGATCTTTTCATCTTGGAGAGCAAGCCGATCGAATCAATGTCGCTCCTCAACATACTACCGTTGAAGTGAGAACTGCAACAACCAACATGATATCCACAGTACATTTTATTGTCATCACTGGACAGAACCAATGACGCAAATGATGGCAATTGCCGATTCACGTGGAATGGCGCATGACCTCAACGAGGCCACTATTTAAAGGCCTCAAGGCGAATGAACGTGGCAAGCACCTCCGAGAAGCATAGTTCTCGACTCCTTGCGTCCGGTAACCTGATTGGCCTGTCCAGCGATCAAACATAGCCTGCTCTCCATGGATTTGACAACGGTGAAGTATTCACCGCTCCCTCGATCCGCAGTCTCGTTTTTGTTCACAATATGTCACCATCGCCGCGTACTCCCTCAAGTACATGACGCAAGGCCCCACTACTTATTTGTAATTTATCGTCAGCGGTAATGGAACCATGCCGCATGGTTTCATTTAGGCAGGTGAGAGAGAAGACCGCTGCCTCGTGCCTACCCTTGTCGAGCGTATAAAGCCTTGCCTATCTGCAAACACACCTCATCGAGTCATTCTCTGCACACCACCGCCATGATCCACTTCGTACGAGTCTTGGTATACTTCTTCCTGGTAAGTCGCAAGTCCAAGGCATGTCTTTCGAGATACTGATTTCAGTGTCCAGTTTGTTTTTTCAGTTGTCGTTATGTCGCTGAGCGCAGTAAGGCTGCACTACACCTTACACTTGTCGCCACGTGATCCTCTCAACGGAGGCGTCCGATTTTACGGTATGTTGATCTCGTCACAATACAGGCGCCCGATCCCTGACTCAAGCTCGTCAAGACCACATCGTGATTGAACTGCTCTTCACATCCATCATCACCATGTTCTGGTCCATGTTTATGTAAGTATGTCACCCACTGCATTTCCTCCAAGTTTAACCCCACTCGCATCAGTGCCCGAACCATACACGGCAGACACGAACATCGCAGGATGAACAGCTTCACAGCAGAGCTCATTGGGTTGTTCATCCTTTTCCTCCTTTGGCTCATCGGCGCTGCCGTTGCCACAGTACGTCATTCCACCCACTCCCCTATGATTCATGATACTCACGCTACGGCGCAGCACACCAGCAACCCACCTGACGTCGACGTCAGGTGGGGTAACCTTTCTTCCTGCTGGGCGTATAGCGCGTGCAGGATCCTCACTGCACTGCTTGCATTCACTTGGCTAGGCTGGCTCCTCGTCTTGGCTCTCTTTGTGATGTCATTACTGTTCGCGATTGCCAATAAGGCATTCCACGATCCGATGCATGGGCGCTGGGACCGCCGTGCCACACACTACGGAGATACATCTATTAATATGCGCAACATCGTCAGGTAAAGGGGCGGTGTCAGATGAACGGGGCGTAGACACTAGCACATGGAGTTGAATGACATTGGAGTGGAGTGGAGTCTTTCTTTTAGGTGGGGAGAAGCGGGACTCGTCAGAATGTGCTATTTACACAACGATATTTACCTTACATTACGATACCACATATCCATGGTAGCACTGATGCAACGAAGATTCTGCGAATCATCGCAGGTCACAGTATTGAAAGGAAAGGACAGCATTCGAGAGGACTACAGTCTCAGACAGTGAATTTATCATAGTACACATTATTTTCGAGACAGTTTCACGATTACGGTGCTGATAGTGCATACACTTCCCCGACATGCCATTATACCATTCAATTAGCGTTCTCAGCTTCGGCCATGCGGACCCATAGACCACCCTGTTGAATGAAGGTATCAACACAGAAACGAGGCAGGAGGAGAGCACAGTACTTACATGAGCATAAATCGTCAAATGTACTTTCGGCCAGAACTTTTCGCGTGATTTGCGACCCTCTGCTTGAGCCCAATCAGCAGGCGGAAGAGTGTGTGGGGGTTGTGCTTCTGGGTGGAGAGTGATAGAAGAGAATGATTGGAGGAGGCGGATGAGCATGAATGACATTTCGTTGTAAGCAAACTATGAGTTGAAGTCAGGAGACTTTCGAGGTGAGGAATAGGAATAGGAGTATCACCTGTTGCCCAAGACAGATGCGGGGGCCGGCGTTGAAGGGGAGGAAGATAAAAGGTTTAGGCGTAAGATACTTATGTAACCGTTCATCGAGGAAGCGGTCGGGATCGAACTCATCGGCTGGCAAAATGTTAGTGCGTGCAGATTGATCATTCGAAACAGTGAGTGACGTGCGTACCATCAGGACCCCAAAGATCTTTTCTGCGATGCATTAGAAAAACGGAGTAGGTGATACTAAACCCATCATCTGCGTTACGTTGCAAATTCTGAGAGGAAAACACTACTGTACCTTGTCTTTGGGGGGACGTAAATTGGCTTATCCAAGTGGTTGGTTGCAGGTAGAGTGGATGCATTGACACTTGCGCTATCATGATGTGAGTATTTCGTAAGAATGTAGGATGTGGCGCGTACCGAACATTGAAAGGTCTGAAGAACGTAATTAGATTGGTAAAAGATTCCTGATTCAAATAACTTACACAGGAGAAAAAACCCTCATAGTTTCTGTAAAGCGAACATGTCAGAGGTCTGATAAAAACAAGCTATAATGATCGAGTATACCGTTAAGAACAGCGCGAAGGTACTTCATACTACGAATCTGATCGTAAGTCGGCCTGTCGGTAGGTCCAACTTGTGTCATAATCTCCTCTCTCAAGCGGGTCATCACATGCGGGTGCGTGGAGAGTAGATACATGGCAACAGTAAGCGTCCCAGCAGTCTGCGTGCATGGTAATTAGCTGACATTCAAGGGAACGTAAATAGTAGATTTACCGTGTCCCTTCCGGCGATCAGGATGTTCAAGATTTCATCTCTCAGTACCACAGGATCTTATTACCAGATAATTCAGTTTCGTGGTACGCGAGAGTACTGGCACCCTACCTGTCGTCATCTGGACAAGATGGTCCAGTAATGTCGTATCATCGTTATCAACATCCTTTTCTTCATTGGCATGCGATTGCTTCTTGGCGATAGCCTCTTTTAAGATCGGATCAATGAACGAGTTCACGATTCGCATAGGTTCAGTGGTTTTATCCTTGAAGATCTCAAACAAGGGCCAGACCCAACTTTTGCGGGGACGTTGGGCGATAATTGTCTGTGCATCTGCAAACGCCTTGGCAAAGTTTTCAGCTATCTTTACCTTCCCAGTAAGGGCTTCCGTCGTTGCGACGTTATGCGGGTAAGGTAATCCTGCGGAAAGACTATGCACGCAATTGTTAAATAAAAATTCCGTGGCGGAGTCGAGCGTGAAACGCGATATCAGGTCCTACGAATTTGTGTTAATGTACGATGTAACAGTAGGATATGAAGCTGACCTGGAAGTCGACGGGATATCCAGAGCGGAAACGAGCCTTCATCTGTGAGATAGCATCTTCTGCATGACGATCAAAGATATTGAAGTGACCTATTCGGTCATGGCTGAAGAAGGGCCTTGTCATAGAACGATGGAATTTCCACATTTCGCCTTATTTATTTAGTGTGATGTTAGTCGCTCGGGAACCGAGTAGAAGTTCATTTACCGTCAGAATTAAAAACACCCGTTCCGAGAACACTTGACATCGTATGCCTAAACTTATCTCCTGCATAGAACGTTTAAGAAGGCGCCGATCACCGGAGATGCTGTCAACTCATCCACCTTTGACATAGTTTTCAAACTCGGACGCTAAGATAGTCTGGGAATCAACGATATCAGTGCAAGACCTTCCATGAAAGAAAACATCAGTATACCTTGATGTGACTAGGCTCCGCGGTAAATATGACGTTCTCGAACATGACATTGAGGTTAAAGCACGTTCCCAACTCTGCGATGATCTCTACCAGTCCATCACCTGGAAGAATAATTCATACAAAATCAGATGCGCGGAGATTGCGGATAGTTATACCAGGATAGCCATTATCGAATCGTTCAACCAGTTTGAGCATGACGTCGAGGTTACCGAATCGTTTGCCCCTAATAGGGGGCGCCAGGCGGGCACCCATCCTTGCAGCTTGTCGGCGGTGAATGATACGCAAGTACAAAATGCGCAATGCAAACCCGATAGGTAAACTACTGGTCGCACCCAGCAGTAAAATCCATGGTGGCAAGGATATACCCAACTTTGTCGCGAATCGCGCTAAGCAGACAGCGCCTAAATATATAGCGCCTGTCGATACGACTATGCGACCAAGGAAAGAGATTCCGGGTGTGATCATATTGAGTTACTTCCGGCGGCAAGTGATAAGACGGCAAGTTCAAATCCGGGTGCGACTCGGGAGGATGAACTAGAGTTGTGGGAGCCAATACAAAAAACTATTGGCTATAAGACCGTGTTGCAAAACATTTGATTTTGTTTACCCACTTCAAGTGACGTGATACAATATTCATCATGGACATGACAGTGGAAAGATCTATTCCTAGGGTGGGTTTCATTCCCATCGACTATACATGGTGACAATTACCTTAAGCTGAGTTGTCAAACACTCAGGGTGAATGGAAGGATCCGGTAGGTGCCATTGGCAGCGCTTGAGATACAATGCGGTTACTCTGGACTGTCAAAGCAAATACTAGGATGGATTGGCCTTGAGCGATCGGGGTGCTCGGGTATTGTCTTCGGAGCCCGATGTTTTATAAAAGCCATAAAGTTCGAGCAGACGAGAAATGAACTAGTGACCGGTCACAGGATCAGAGTCAGGGGTTGCCTCTTCCCTTTCGGCACTCCACATAAGTCGGTATGTCCCATAGTAGGCCAGTTTCAAAGTGAGCTTGGCAGCGCAAGTTTAGTTAATATTCGTACTAGTAAGCACAATATTTACTAGATATGCATGCTTACTATGGAAGTATGAGAGGACCATTAGTTCTGGCGTAGTTGACTCGGATCATGGATGGGGCATCGATGAGACGATGATGATGTAAAGGGACCGCCACATGGGACCTGAATAAAAAAAAACTTAGCATAATCAGAATTAATATCGTGAGTATAGAATGCAGAATTGTAAAAAATTCCAGCAGCGCTGCATCTAGCACAAGTTGTCACTTCCAAAGTGATGTGTGTGATACTGAAAACCTCCGGTCAGACCAAAATGTTTGTGGGGACGAGTTGCACTAAGAAAGTATAGTTCAACCAATGTGGGAGCTCCTTATTGTGACTACCGGTCAACTGCGGAAAAGTATATAGTACCTGATGCTGACTAATAAGTACATAAATAAATAGTTTAACCACGCCCTGAATGACCCCTGTGAAATTGTCACCGCAGTTTTAGTTGGCGCCCAAACGGCAGCCAGTGCTAGTGACCATCAATCATATTATCTGTGTAGGTGGCAATTCAAGGTTTTTTTTCATTTGCTTATCTAGGTCACCAACTAGTAACAAACTTCGATTGACCCACTAGTATGTCTCGAACTTGGCTTAGCCCTGGCGTGGCCTACCTCACGCGGGGCTTGCTTTCCGTCGTTGTTCCGGCCGCGTCCTCCGTCATTATCCTAGTTCGCCTGGCCTCTCTAAAAGGCGTTCGAATTTCTCCCTGGCTCATATCTGCAGTAGTTTTGGGTGCAGCGCCTCTCGGGTTTGCAGCTTACGTTCTTGCAGATGGGATATCGCAAAAACGAAAGGCCAACCGACTCGGTGCCAGACTTATTCCTCGTATCCATGGAAAATTACCTGGAAATCTGGATAAGGTAGTGACGATGGTCCTGAGGAACGAGAATGAATACCTAGGTACAGCCACCATCTCATCCATACCATGTTCGTGCTTTACGGAATCATTGTCTAGGACGACCTATAGAGGACGAGATAAAGGTACTCGGGCCGACCATCAATTTTCGTTTTTTCTGGGAGGACCTCATTTTGACTACGGAGCCACAACACATCAAGGCAAGCTTCAATATATATATTAGAAGACATCTTATAATCAAACGCCACATAGACTATTCTCGCAACTGACTTCGATAACTATATCAAAGGTATGCACCTTACGTTAGATGCCGTCTGTTGACATGTACCCATGTGACTCGATGTAGGTGCCAAATTCAGAGAAGCAGCTGATTCTGTCCTTGGAACGGGCGTATTCAATTCAGATGGTAAGCATACATTGGCGGGCCTTTTATGTTGTGTCCGATTGACCGATTGGTTGTGCCACCAGGTGAAATCTGGAAGTAAGCCATATATTTGAGGATTACCTCCGATGGGGAATCTTAGATGTATTTCTAGGCTTCACCGAACCATGACACGGCCTTTCTTCACTCATGATCGGATAAGTCACTTTGATATCTTTGACCGTCATGCGGATCATGCCATCGCTTTGGCGAAGAAACGTTTCAGAGCGGGCTTGGCAATTGACTTCCAAGTACGGGCTCTTCCAAGCTGGCATTTTGACATCTTTTGATCCCACCACAGGATCTCATATCCAGGTTTACGCTTGACTCTGCCTCAGAGTTCCTATTTGGACACTGTATCGATTCACTTTCCGCTGGACTCCCTTATCCCCATAACGCGACAGAATCCATAAATGCTATTCAAGAAGACAGTGTCGCTACAACCTTTGCATATGCTTTCTCTCAAGCTCAACAGGCAATAAATCGGCGTGTTTCTATCGGGCAGACCTGGCCACTCAATGAGATTCTTGCTGACAGCACCGCGCAACATATGAAAGTGGTAAACGCATTTTTAGATCCGATCCTCAAAGACGCTCTAGAGAAGCGTAGCACCACTGTCGAATTTGACAAAAATGAGTTCGCAGACGACCAAACCCTTGTAGACCATCTCGTAAATCTGACGTCAGGTGAGATAGCATGTTACCACGGAATTTCTGTCGTTGAAATATCCTTTTCAGACTTCAAAATTATTAAAGATGAGACATTAAATATATTACTGGCCGGAAGAGATACGGTAAGTCGCATACCTTTGAATCATCCTAGTATGTAACGAAGGATAATCGGTAGACGGCCTCAACATTAACATCAGTTATTTATTTGTTGGCAATGCATCCAGAGTTCCTCATTCGGCTCAGGGAAGAAATTATATCGAAGGTTGGGCTAACTCGCAGACCCACTTATGATGATATCAAAGAGATGAAGTATCTCAGAGCTGTCCTCAATGGTGCATATTCTCATTTCTTATCGCGGGGACATTGCTCACTTATTTTTAGAAACACTACGCCTTTTTCCTGCTGTGTAAGTAATTGAATTGGATCTCATGCGTACCTTGCCTCATACCCCAACCGCCTAGCCCCTTTGATATAAGGTATGTTCTTAGGCTCCTCGAAGATACTAGACTTGAGCCATGAGCTTTTAGGGAAAATATATGTGACACTACATGGATATCCCCCGAAGATGGGAAGAAGCCGCTATTTATCCCAAAGGGGACCATGTACGCATCATATTCAATCATTTAGATCCATTGCATAATTACTTGAACAATTTTAGGCTCAGCTATTCAGTGCTCCTCATGCACCGGAGAACTGATCTATGGGGACCAGATGGTAAGTCGATTTAATTCGTTTATACATGCGTTTTTGATTCAATCCGACCCCATGCTCTAGCATTGGAGTTCGATCCGGATAGATGGCTCGACGAGCGCGTGAAGAAATACTTGATTCCCAATCCCTTCATTTTCCTGCCATTTAACGCGGGACCCAGGATTTGCTTAGGGCAACAAGTAAGTCGCTCATTCATTCATGCCACAAATCTCATACCCTCTTTCTACTTCAGTTTGCATACAACGAAATGTCGTTCATGATCATTCGTTTGCTGCAAAACTTTTCCGCGATTACATTATCCCCCGAGCCCGCGATGCGCCCACCTGCGTGGTGGGCTGAAAAAGGTGGTCGGCAGGCTATCGAGCAATTCAGGCCGAGAAACCACTTGACACTTTATTCTATGGTAAGTCTCACTCCGAGGTGTTTTGCAGTCGTCTAATCAGTTTCTGCCTCGTAGGGTGGCATGTGGGTTAAGATGGAAGCTGTAGATGACGGCGAAGTCATAGACTAAGTATAATTTTGGTGCTGTGGGACAATATTGCCAGGTCGTTCATTTTTATTGCTTCCATTTTTTCATTGTTCTTGATTGTAAACATACGCCAATGCGTGACTTTGTTTCAGAGTTACAGGAAACGCTTTTTTTTTTTGATTCCATTTCTGTCCCATTGAGAGATGTACTCTATGTAGGACAATACAATCTAGTCACAGGAAACGCTTGACAGGTACTCTCCAGCTGAATTCAGTCTGTGGTGATCGAGAGTCCCAAAGATTCCAATCGCTGGATTCTCACCTGTACCGCTATTTTTGCTCTCCATTTTCACGTCGTAATGACAGTTAGGCCCTGCGATGAAGCTTTAGGCCTTAGGGGCTATCATTTAGGTAAATAACGAAACTCAACGGTTACTAGCTGCATTCAGTGGCAGTGACCTTGCCGCGGTCCCGAATCATTCGAAGCCAATGGGAACGTTTTCATACCTTCCTATAGTTGGCCTAGCCTTCCGAGTCCGAGACGTCGCGTCAGTGGGTCGAATTACCATGCCATACTGCAAACAATATACACTATCCAAGTTCGCGTGACAAAACGCACGATTTCTTCGGTGAGCTTATTTTTACACCGGCAACCTACCTGACTTCTCCAAGTATAACGTGTCGCAGTCCTATTTTCGGGGAGATCTTGGGCGCCAGTGACTTTATCACGGAAGTTCCAACGGATCCTTCATTTATAAATTCACGTCCCGGGTCATAGTGATTGAATGTCGATATCAACGTTGAATGCACGGCGAAGCTGCTCGCTAGTATATACCAACTGTAGCATAGCCCAGATCAAACTAGCTGCCCACAAAGAACGTCCTTATGGCTGCCCAAGTTAGCATTTATGGCAGAGAATTTCTGCCAGTAGGTTTGCGTATTCCGTTGGAGTGGTACCCCTCAGGGGTCGCGCAGGGGGGTGTTTGCCGTAGCTTAGTCAGTAGGGTAGAGCCTTCGGACGTTGCCGTAGGTAGCAGGCACATTAATATTACTAGCCGCGCCAGTCCACTGTGTTGATCCTCTAGAGTCTACATTAAGTGCAACACCATGGTTTGTACCTGTGATAGACGAGCTGCCAGTCCTGACTTTTGAAGAGACGCATCTGCCCAACTTCATGTCTGACTTCAGTTCCAAGTGCTGCAGTTTTGTCACTTTCCGATATGATTGAATCGCTCGCAGATACTGCGCAGTGATAATATTATACGTAAGTTGACAGGTCCATAGCCATGATAATGCTGGCTCTAGGACTTTGGCAGACGTGTACATTATAGGCACCACATCGTGATAACCTGGGTACCTAACACGCGTCGCCGCGGCGTCGGTACTATGCACCCTCAACAGTAGCGGAGACTTTGTCAGCTGTTGCTTGACATGTGGTGTTTGGGCGCAGAAATCCCCAAAATGCACGGGCATCACAGGCCCTGTGACTATAGGACAAGGATATAAATGTGAGAATGCATCCAAGCACGTGCGCCTTTCTGTATTCTGGTTGTCTCGCTCATTCTCAAAGATGGCTGCAGTTCAACAGACTGATCCCAGCAGCGAACTCGATGCCCTGTTCCCTTCCCCATCCTCCCCGCCGAGCGTGCTTTCCCCTCCGCGGCATCCTGGTGCTACCCCAGAAGCAGCTGCAGCTTTGTCGTATGTCTTGAAGGATAACTATACAAAGTACCACATTTTCTTCAACTACCAGCAGTTTCATAAGTGCGTATGTATCTTGATTGATCCGTGTCTCATGTTGCTGATTCGAGCGTCGATGAAGCCATATCACTCATCGCGCGCTGGCACTTTTCGCTATGGGCGCGAGTGGACCTCTGATCGAAAAGTTGTATAAGAAAGACAGCGCCATTCAACGCCCAGCCATCAGGTCTCCCGAGGCTATCACAGAAGAGAACTTTATCGAACATATAGGTGATGAAAAGTGAGTTTAAAATTGACGCCGCAGCGCATCGCTCAATTGATTTCTTGTTAGCTTTTACGCCGCGTACAAATCATTCTTCATCAAGGTTGTCGAGGAAAAGAGCGTCAGCGCCACGCTAGATGAATACATATTCTCTAAGAAGTACAACTTTATAGAGGGACGAGACGCATCCGCCCAGCCGGTGATGTTGGCGCGCTTCCTTGGAGGTTTTTTACACGCCTTCATCCATGTAGGATACGGCGCGGAATTAGGCATCCCAGGCATGATCGTCGAAGGCGAGGAACATGACACATCATTGTAAACGAGTCCCTGACAGACACCTAAAGGTCTTGCATTGACCAGCGTGCATGGGCATAATTTTTTACCATCAGATCTCTTCGAGCATAGCGATACGACTGCAGTGGAAGAGGCCACAACCCAACTTGCCTCGCTTTTCCTTAATACAAAGGCACCTACTGCGCCCTCTCAAGTAGCACAACCGCCAAAAAACCATGCATTCTCCATTCTTGCAAAGATCACGCAAGATCCGAAATTCACACCGAAGGAGATCAAGAAGCATTTTAGAAATTTTGATGGCCTGATGTCCGAGCACGGCGATACTGTATGGGACTACGCTAAACAATGGACGATCGACCCGTCACAGCCAGGCGAAATCGAACGTAAGATGGAAGAATGTATCTGGACAAGCAGTATCCTCTACACCCTTGGAGGATGGAACAAAGACGGAGGCTTCACGGCAGACTTCATCTAGTGAGTGACGTCAAATCTGCCGTTTGCGAAACAATATTGATTTTTGGGGTGCTCCAGCATGCATTGCGTCACCTCAAGTCTCTTCCTTCCATCCTTGTTGGCTTACCTGCCAACAGACTCGCAAGTTCTGTTACTTCGTGGATACCTTGCGACGATTCTTGGGTTGCATATCACACGCGGCTTCCCTAGACTGGACATTCAAGGTTTCCTCAGCGCCACCTCACATCTTCCGTCAGACAACAAGGTCGATAACCCATTCCTCGACATCGTTCAGTCTGGGATAATGCACCCAAACGACCATGTGTCAAAGATTCTGCGCGCCTTTGCACATTTCTCTTCGCTCTATGGCGCACGGCCCAAGGGCTACTTCAAGGATACGGAACTGGAGGGCGCAGAGGCGCTGGATGGATCGTTCTTCCTTTTGGGCGCGAGATTGACTGAAGAGTATATGAGGGACGGGACGTTCTGGAGCCTAGAGGGGTTTCCTGCGAAGGATTAGGAATGAATGAGGGATTTGAAATGTATGTGATACAAACACCGCTGAACCAATGACTGTAATTTTATATGCTTTTTAAACTCACCAAATGTGTTGATCGTCTGATGTCACCCAAGACATGGCGTATCGTATTCATTCACAAGGGACATGCAGCACACGGATCTAAAAGGGGGTAATGCTTGTGTAAGAAGTGTAACTGAGTCGTATTAGATGAATATTGAATGATGATGATCACCGCATCTACATCTTATAAGGTTGGCGAAATGCCTTATTCACTTAACACTTGCGATGAATATTGTTTTATTTTATCACTGTGTATATATTAATAGGGTTTTCCTCCGCTGAGCGCTGTCAAAATACATCGATTCCGGTCAAGCATGGTGTCTTCCGATTGGCGAATAGTATGAATCTTGTCTGACTGTATTGTACTTCGATATCTCGTCACTGTCAACGTTTCATAGCTAGATATCGCGGAGTTCGCCTTTCGAGGTGACGTCGTTAATTTAACTCGGAATCCTGACTTGACGGCATATTAGCACAGCGAGTAGCATGAATCTTGTCTGGCGATAATTGTACTTCGATATCTCGTTACTGTCAACGTTGCACAGTTGGACATTGCGGAGTTTGCCTTTCGAGGTGACGTCGATATCGTTGATTTAACTCGAATTCGTGACTTGACGGTATATGTATATGAGCTCTAGTGAGACAACACCGCTGTACAGACACGTGTAGCAGACGGATCAGATCAGTGGCGCGGATACTAGTAGAACATGGTATCAGATTCCCTGATGATTTTTAGCGCTTTATTTTTCATTCAAACGTACATTAGCGCGGTTTCAGGTCGCTTGTTGCCAAGTCAGGCCAACTACGAGTTTGCCGTGATGTCGGACGAAGAATTTTGACAGTATAGCTCCGCAAGGACGTATTGTGAATGTAGGCGCTAGATGCATGCGAGGGTATTCCTCATTCTTGGGTCTTCCGTATATGGAGGGCCAATATTATTCCGTCCATGTCCACGACGCCAGCAGGACGTGAAAGTGGAAGGGGTCTTTTGAGAGTAAGCTTGCCGGACTTATACTGTAAGTTGCGGGTCTGAACGGGGTGGGCAGGATGTCGAAACAGATGTTGGCCTATACCGGCAGTCAAGATGCAGCAAGTTTGTCTTTCTGCCACAAATGGCTAGTTCAGGAGCTACACTGAGTCAGGTTCCGGCCGGGGCGATGGATGCAAGTCCTCGCTGCAAAACCATTATTGCTGGGTGCTACCCGCATCGGGAAGACGATGACGATCTCGTGGGACCGAAGTTTGCAACTGTGTGTGCGATCGAATGATAAATATGTCCTGTTGTGCTAGATGCTGGAACGAGCACCGTTGGGGAAGGTTTTGTAGTGTATGCTTGGAACTGATGGTTTCTTATCTCAGATAGTAGAATCATCTGATCAGATACCTCGGTGAATCAGGAAGGACTTGGTAGGCGATGGTGCTTCGAGCTCTGGATCGGACGCGCAAGATACATAATACTCACTAGAAGGATCCTATCTGCTCATTCTGATCAGTGGCAAGTGGGACATGCAGCACGTTGAAGGCTAGTTGATAGCACTTTTGTTTGGGACGAAAGAGGCCTTTAGTAGTTTTGTGTAGCATGTGCTTCAGGGACGAATATTTGGACAAAGAAGATCGTTTGTCCAGTGTTTCCAACGGGAGCAAATAGAAATTTCCCACGGCGTGAGCTGCATTAGTAATTTTGCTAATCAACGTCAACTTTGAACCCGTTTGCTCAGCATATCTCGACGCAAACACTCGCTTTCAGGAACGCCTGCCCCATGCCATGGTATTGGGGAGTCGTATGGGATTTATGTGGAGACAAGAATCCGATATGCTCCGAACCTTCCGTCCTGTATTTGAATTGGAACGTTAACCCCGTCGGCTCTCTCACACTTCTCATTTTGTTGTCGACTTCTGTTTTCCACTGGTTTCGTCGTGAGCCATATATTCTCTTCCCGTGCCCTAACAGTCCATTAGACTCTAGAGTGCGATGTTTTTTTGGGAAGTACCGTGCTGTGTTGCACGCGTCCTTGCTTGTCCTCCACATTCAGTTGCGCATGTGCCCTCAGAATACCTCACATATGTTTACTATTACCCGCAATTATGTTCTAATTTGCTTCTCTTCAAAGCTTCTTTTGTTCTCGGCTGTCACGAGCTATTGTCGAACATCGCCGCGTTTGTAGTTCGCGCAATACGCGATTTGCAGGGTGCGTTTCGTTTGATAGCGACTCGGTTGTAGTGCCGATCACAAGAGGGGTGGAGGATCGCGACAACCCATGAAGTGAAAATGGTGGGCAAAGTTCCTTGAAAAAAAAGGTTAGAAGAGTTCCCAAGGGTGGAAACAGAGCCTGGGAGTTGAGAACAGGCGCATCAGGGGCGCTACGATGATGAATGTTCGAGATAAAAATATATATTTGCCGGGGCACTTGTGTCGTATATGCATCACTTGTCAAAGGACCACCGGCAATCTGTGCGAAAAGATTGTCCTGAAAGCATTCTTGCCGCATCTTTGTCATTTCTCAGTACTTCAGTACTCGACGCAGCCTGTCGCAATATTAACCCCCGCGCGCGGCAATTTCGCGTTGATGGCCGGTGAGCCTGATACTACCATACTACTACTAGTAAGTTTCCTCTGTCCGCGGCAATCTTGCGCAGTATCAGCGCTGATACTGCGCACCGTTGCATATTACTACTTACGTATCATTATTGGCCCCGTTTATGTAATGGCAATGAGTTGTTCCAATAAGCGTTGTTGAATTCGAACAAGCTTGTCGAACGTACGCTGAGTCAACGTGTTCCCTACCGTTACTCTACAATTTGACAGGTTTACTCACCACTGTCGACCACAATCACCACTACCACTTCAGAAGGTGCACGGGATAGCCCGTCCAAAAGCTTCTCTGGAGAGCAATGGTGATTCAATTATGCCCAGGCATCAATGCACCTGATTTATCAGATGCCTGCGTACGCACCTCCCTTGGGGCGATTGTACCCGCTGCGCTCGTCTTAGCGTTGTGTCTCTTCTCCATATCCCGGACTCCTGCATTCGCTCGTCCACTTGCTAGCGCTATTAAAACGCCCTTCCTCAGTTTCTTGACCTTGCGCGAAGCCGAAGCTCTAGATAGTCAAGGGGAAAAAACAGACGACCTTGTCATCGACAATACCGTTCCTTTATGGCGCACCGTACTACTCTCATTTGTCGCTTTGGTCGAGGCTCTCGTTTGGTCTGCTGCCGGTGCATACAGCATCCTCATGAATAAGGCTTATATTTGGCCGGGTATCGCGCAACTTCTCATTTCTGCCACTTGGATATATGCCTCCTGCAAGCCTGTCTTCTGGCCCAAGCCGACTATCCACTTCGATCTCTTCTCCCTATTTGTGCTACACTTCGTCTTTGGCATAATCCTGTTCGGTGGTACTTTGTACGAGTATGAGGTTTTCGGTGTCCCATTGCCTCAGCTCCCATTATTGGGCCTCATTTCCAATCTCATCGCCATTCTGGTGCTCCTGACCATCGTAGGAAATATGCCCTTCGAGCTGCCAAGCAACCGTATCAAGAAGGAAGATATTGTAGGCCGCTATCTTTTTAATTATTGCCCACTTGCTTATCTTACCCGCGTCATAGTATGTCAAGTACTCTCCTGAAGACTATGCCACTATGTGGGAGTGGATAACGTTCTCATGGGTCTACCCACTTATCACTCGTGGCTCGAACATGACCATGAGCGAGGATGACGTTTGGAAACTTAGCCCCACCCAGCAATCCCGCCCAGTGTTCATCAAGTTCAGCACCATCATGTGCGTATATATCATGCTACGAGGTGACCACCTGTTAATGCTAAATGTCAGGCGCTCTACTCTCCTTCGCCGTCTGTGGGCTGCCAACTCGCAAGATCTTTTGTGAGCCTCTGTCCTCTTTTACTGAAAATTTCACTCAACGCTCGAGTCAGACTGGATTTCTTGCTGACTTATGTCAGCGTCATATTCGCCTACGCTTCGCCATTCCTTTTAAAGTGAGTACGGCTTATTGTATTAATTGCTCTGAGCTCAACGATTTTCAGGCGTATCCTTGATGCTATCGAGGAATCTTCCGCAGAGGACCGATTCCAAGCATACATCTATGCTTTCTTGGCCTTCCTGTGCACGTTGCTAAAGGTATGTATCTTGGTCTCTTACTCGGGAGCTCTCATTTACGTCGCATCAGGCAGAAGCTGATGTCCAACACCTGTGGTTCGGACGGCGAGCGGCGACAAGGATGCGTGTAGAGCTGATGGCTGCCATCTATGACAAAGCTCTCAAGCGTCAGGACTACTCAGGCATTATCGACAAGGACAAAGCCAAGGAGGCTGCCGACAAAAAAGCGGGAATCAAGCCTGTTGAGAATGCGACCTCGGATGACCCCAAGGCTGGCGCGGATGTTGGAAAGATTGTCAATCTGATGGCTGTAGATGCAAACAGAATTGCCATGATGGTATCTGGCGCATATTTCATCTATGGAGGTCAGTTACGTTTGTCCTCCCTTGTCTGGTAATCGATCTTATCGCTATTGATAGCTCCGTTCGAGATTATCATTGCCACGACCTTCCTCTACAAGTAAGGAAGTCCACTCGTGTCAATCAGTTGAAGCATCTCACCTTCTATTTACAGTCTTCTAGGTCTATCTGCATTTGCGGGCTTCGTCGTTCTCCTCGCTGGCTGGCCCCTGAACAGTTTTGTCACTAAACGCAGCGTCCGCATCCATAAGGGTGTCTCTGCTTCGCGAGACAAACGCATGGCTGTCCTTAACGAGCTCATCGGAGCTGTCAAATTCATCAAGTTCTTCGCGTGGGAGGACCGCTGGATTCAACGGGCTATGGATGCGCGAGGAGTGGAGATGAAATGGATGGTGAAGGGTAAGTAGCCGCACCGTCATTTTTTGGAAGTCGGCTGACGCGCCATTTCACTAGCCCGGATCAACTCAGTGATGTTTTCCCTGATCTGGACCTCTGCTCCTATTTTGGTGTCGCTCATATCATTCTTCACTTTCGTGTACCAAGGTAACCAGCTGACTGTGTCGGTTGCTTTCACGGTGAGTCCGGTGACTGTGGAAATAAGGTGAGATTGCTGATGCAGTTTTTCAGTCTATCGCGCTGTTCAGCATGATTCGGTAAGTAGTTAATGATACATTTATCTCGTTCTCTGGCTTATGCGGGCTTCAGTCAGCCGTTGAATGTTATCCCAGCTTGGATTGTTCAAATACTACAGGTATGATAGCATCATTCATTTCTAGAGCGTTGTATCTGATGGCAGGCTTTCAGACTGGCGTTGCGTTAAAACGTATTGAGAAATACCTCGAAGAGGACGAAGTCGATGACCAGGTGTCTTCCATTAAGAGGGCTCGCGCACCCTGTAGCGATGAAGAGGATGACACCCTTTCAATTGAGAACGGATTTTTTAAGTGGAACGAAGTTCCCGAGCAGCCTGAGGAACCTTCGAAAGGCAAGGGCAAAAGCCACTCTCGTGCTAGTTCGAGTGACGAAACTGCGACTGCCGTCGATTCCGAGTCCGGGTCCATCCGTTCGTCGCCCGAAGATCATAGATTCGAGCTCAAGGATATTTCGGTACGGTTTCCCGAGGGCGAGCTGTCCGTGATTACTGGACCGACGGCGAGTGGCAAAACTGCTTTGCTCGTGAGTAAAGTTCTTTCCATTGAATATAAATTTCACATGATGCTTTGTTAGATGGCACTGCTGGGCGAGATGACTACCATCAGCGGCAAACTGACTATCTCGAAAAATACGTCGAAGATCGACGAGAATGGACTTATGCACTCAATCTCATATGCCGCTCAATCACCATGGCTGCGTCATCAGTCCATCAAAGACAACATTCTATTTGGGCAACCTTTTGACGAGGAGAGGTATAATGATGTCGTCGAGTGCTGTGCGCTGCAGCCGGACTTAAATATCTTGGAGGATGGAGACGATACTGAGATTGGCTCTAGGGGGGTCAGCTTGTCAGGTGGCCAAAAAGCTCGGTGAGGCATGGGTTTTAGATCTTTGTTCGGGATGCTCATGGTATTCAGTGTTGCACTTGCTCGCGCCGTGTATGCTCGCACGAAGTATGTCCTGTTGGATGATCCATTAAGTGCTGTGGTGAGTGTTACTATCTATCTGTTCATATGCTACCATCGTGCTTATGTTGCGAATAGGACAGTCACACTGCGCGATTCTTGTACGATAGACTCTTCCGCGGACCGTTGATGGCAAACCGTACGGTGGTATGTCTGCCATCCACGATGATACAACGCGGTGTTAAATCCGTTCACAGATCTTAGTCACTCACCACGTGGAACTCGTGCTCCCTGGCACTTATTACCTCGTCCGCATACTGGATGGTCGCATCGATGCCAAGGGCACTGTCAAGGATCTCCGTGCGCAGGGCGTTCTGGACCACATTGCGCAGGATTCCACTGCAGAAGCCAAAGAAGAGGAATCTGTCGCAGCCTTTGAGGTCCCTGTTGAAGCGCAGGAGGACAGCGATGGGGCAGACACGCCTGTAGAATCGAAGAAAAAGCCTAGAAAGCTCATCAAGGACGAGCACCGGGAGGCTGGAGGCGTCAAGTGGGCAATTTATAATGCGTACTTGAAAGCATCGTAAGGGTCTCGTTACATTTCAGGTGTTGCGTGGGCTGACTACGGGGCAGCTCGTACTGGACATGGTTTATGCTTGGGCTACTCATTGTCTGTTCGCAGAGCTTAGGTGTTATTGAGAAGCTCTGGGTTCGGGTTAGTCGATATTCTCTTCTTCATTATTGGTACTTTATGTTTGTTATAGGAATGGGGTCAAGCATACGGCGATGGCACCGAGCCAGCTCCGTACATCATGCCGTCCTCTGTATTGACCGAGAACGAGGTGCTGATGAACGGCTACATGTCCTACCATGACTATCAACACTACTCGAACAGCTACTTCCATGTTAACACCACTGGCTTCGGCCCCATCACGTTGCCTGACGTTCATGAACATCCGCTATACTACGTTGGTATTTATGGGCTGATCGGCTTCGCCACCGCGGCAGTGGGCATATTGTCGATCTCTATTCAGTACACCGGAGCGTTGAAAGCGTCAAGATCTATTTTCCGCAAGCTCTTGACGGGTGTCGTGTGTGCCACGATGCGCTGGCATGATGTCACTCCGGCTGGTCGCATGCTCAATAGATTCGGAAAAGTGAGACTAAAAGCATTGTAGTTTTGGATCGTCAACTCACACATCGCGGTCTCTAGGATATTGAAACCATTGACACTAATCTCGCGAGCTCGCTATCAGCTGTCAACTCTTCATTGGCGACGTTTGCGGCTGCGATTTTCACCGTCGTGTAAGTCACTGCTCACATCTCGATAAGTCATATGCTCATACATTGACCCCTAGTATTTTCTTCCCGATTTTCCTTATCCCTGCTGTGATCATAGGTTTCTTTTACCGCATGCTAGCTCTTGGGTATCTGAAGACTGGCAGAGATCTTCGTCGTATGGAATCTAATTCTCGGTCGCCTATCTTCTCTGGCTTTGGCGAGTTGCTTGAGGGTATTGTTACGGTTCGGGCATTCTCTGCTGAAGAGCGCTTTTTGGACGACCTGCACGATAAGATCGACGTTACTACCAAGGTAGACTCGAATTCAATTTTACTGTACGATGACATTGACGGTTGCTGTGACAGATGTGGTACAATTTCTGGATGACGAATCGATGGCTCTTGTTGAACTTTGATGCGCTCGGTGGGTTGGCTGTGTTGGCCACTACTCTCCTTGCGCTATCGGGCTATGTCTCAGCTGGTACCGCGGGTTTGTGTATCACGAGTGCTATGACCTTTACTACCAGTGTTTATTGGGCCTGTCGGTTCTGGACCGCACTTGAGCTTGATCTAAAGTATGTGGAGATGATTTATGGTGTTCTTATACTCATGTGCATTCGTCTCGCCCTTTCAGCTCCGTCGAGCGTGTTGTAGAATACCTCGATTTGCCTCAAGAGCCTCCTGCCATCATCGAGTCTAGTCGTCCTCCTGCTTATTGGCCTTCTAGCTCGACGAAGGAAGGGTTGCTAACTGTCGAGGACCTGGTCATCAAATACTCCCCTGAGCTCCCTCCCGTCTTGCATAACGTTTCCTTTACTCTGAATGCGAAAGAGCGAATCGGGCTTTTGGGACGCACAGGTAGTGGAAAGTCGACCTTGGCGATGAGCATTCTTCGTTTTGTAGGTGATGCTTGATAAAAGACGGTCTATGTTTGCTGAGCTGGTCTGTTAGGTCGATCCTGTCAGTGGTCGCATCTTGATCGATGGGATTGATATCTCTACAATTGGTGTCCATGACCTTCGCTCTCGTTTGGTGAGTTTCTGATATATTACTTGTATGTACCCTGTTGCTAACTTGTATGTCAGACTTTCATTCCCCAGGTGAGTCTGTATTGTGGTGCCGTGCCTCACATGAGATTGATCTAGCGGCAGGATGCGACTCTGTTCTCGGGCACATTGAGAGATAACCTTGATCCATTCGGTGAGTTGACATTTCTGATTGTGGTACATAGATGTCGAACCCCTTTCAGGTGAACACGAAGATAGTGAATGTTTGGACGTGCTGTACCGCGTGCAAATGCTCAGTCAAAGTGCTTACCAATCTCAACATACCTCCCGCGCACCATCTCGTGCATCCACGCCTGACGATGCCGCCTCTTCTGCTGCATCGACGGCTGTCACTGACGCGGAGTCGAAGACGACCGTCACGCTCGATACCCAGGTGTCTGCAGGTGGCACAAACTTCTCGCAGGGTCAACGGCAGCTCATCGCGATGGCGCGCGCGCTGCTTAGGCGAAGCTCGATTATTGTGCTTGATGAGGCAACAAGTAGCATTGATTTTAGCACCGACGCTAAAATTCAGGCGACGATCAGGGAGGAGTTCACGGATTCCTTATTACTCACGGGTTAGTGATCTACTTTGGGAGATTGGCTTGCATTCGCTGATGTTGTGTATATTTATGGTTTCTTAGTCGCGCACAGATTACGCACCGTGATTGATTACGACCGTCTAATTGTGCTCGATGCAGGAGTGGTGCGTGTTATAATTAGGTTGTGCGGACTCACGCTCATGTGTGACTACCAGGTTGCGGAGTTCGACACACCTTTGAATCTGATCCAGAAGGAGGACGGCATTTTTAGGACGATGTGCCTCAAGAGTGGCACATTCACTGAGCTTGAGGCGGCTGCCAAGGCCAAGGCTGAACGTGATGTAGCCAAGGCTAGCGCATAATTGAGTACTTGACTATGAGTTGATTTATTCTGTATCAAATGTGGTTGTCTGAAGTGGTCCTACGATCACGATGAAATTGATGCGTCCAGCACATTGTCAGTCGCTTATGTAAGATTATTTCGTAAATAGATGACTAAGGGGTACAGTGTCATGGACAAAGATCTGGCCCAATCAACCACCGAAATATGTTGAGATTTGCAAGCCGAGAGCATCTGCTCACAAAGCATTCGGACTTCTTTCTGAGTTTTTCATATGAACTTAGGAGATCTCCGCATCTTGCACCAACTCGTCTGCATCCATCGGAAAGACCTTCCGTATCTTGAAAAACGCCCAGTCTTGAATCTTGATTACAACAAAACACCACCAACCCGTGTTCTCGCAGTGGATCCAAGCACTTATCAGCGTATTCGGCATACCGACGATCATGGAGCTATCTTATTCATTGGATAAAGGCCTTATCCACATCATCGCCATCAAGTTGAATGATTCATTCAAGTGACCACTACTGGCCCCTCCATGGTGCTGCATGACGCATGACGCATGACGCATGACGCAGGGTGCCGAACGGCGTACTATTAAGGCTAATTCTCTTTGAATCTATTGCAAACTTTCCGAATCATCATGAAAAAGTCAACTCTCGCTTATGTGATTGATCAATGGTCGGTGGTGCCCCCAGTAGAGACAGCAAACCTGTCTGGGAAAACAGTTCTCGTCGTCGGCGCCAATGTAGGCATTGGACTCGAGGCATCAAAACACTTCGCCCGTATGCGACCAGCGCGGTTGATAATTGCCTGTCGCAACGAGGCCAAGGGGAAGGTCGCTTTGGTTGGTACGTATGATAACGGTTTAAAATGAATTTAATATGAGATTATTGATTTTTATTTTCTGAACCTGAAGAAATCGAGTGGGAGACCGGATACAATGGATGCGAGCTCTGGATAGTCGACCTTGCCAACTTTGCATCAGTGACCGCATTTGCTGATAAATTCGAGAAGGAGGGCGGCGATTTGCATATCCTGGTTATGAACGCAGGGATCGCGCAGCCCGATTACCAACTCACCACTGATGGCTGGGAGTCTGTGTTGGTCTATTTTATTTTTCTGCCCGCAGTTATCGCTCATATCCACTCTCCAGACTACAAGTCAATCATCTTGCAACGTCATTACTTTCGTTGCTCCTCATTCCACGACTAATTGCTGCGGGGAAAAAGTCTTCAACACCTTCACGAATAGTAATTGTGTCCAGTGAATTCCACTACTGGATCACGCCCGCGAAAGAGGTCCAGGCCTCCTCGAAACCACTTAAAACGTTGAGCAGCCAAGAGTGGTGTATCCCCGAGTAAGCAAACAAATCAAACTCTACCTTCATATGGACATCTCTTACTCGATATCTCTCAGGCACATGAAATCCCGGTATCATGAGTCAAAGCGTACGTGCGTTCTGTCTTCTCTACCTGCTTCAACCTGACAATCCACCCAGTGTTGAATGTCTTCTTCGTTCGCGCCTTAACGGACAGGCTGCAATCCATCACACCACTCAGTGTCGTAGCCGTGAACCCAGGATTTTGTCATTCACAACTACTGCGCGTCTGGTTCGAGACAACAACCTTTTCATTTTCCACAATAGTGCTCGCCATTAAGAAGCGTCTCTTGGCTTGGACGGCCGAACAAGGCAGCCGTCAGCTTATATTTGCTGCAGTGGGCGGACGAGACAATGAAGAGAATATGAAAGGCGGGTACGTGAGCCTTGGTCGCATCGTCGAAGTTGCCGATTTCGTGCTGAGCGACGAGGGCCATAAAATGCAAGACACTATTTGGGTACGAGTTCAAGTCCACTGATTCGTCTTGGGTCTGTGTTGACATTTTCTATCAGAATGAGACGATAGATATTCTGAACCGAGTTTCCGACAAGATTGCTCCAATAGTCCAGGATTATCTAGTAGTACCATAAACTGAAATGTACACGGGTGTAAGTGTACGGAATAGTAGTGCTTGCCTTTTGCTACATTGTCGAGACTTGTAATTTTATCTCCTTGATGCCGGAAGCAGCGCCGTTGCAGCTCTAGTATTACCAATGGTCGAGCACCTATGGCTAGTAGGGTCCCTTTAATCTTGAGTGCGCGATGTATGAGTGAAATATATTTACCTTATCCAAGATGGACCTCTTACGTTAGTAACGTTATGTCGTTAGGAGGACAGTAGCGTTGGTCGATCGGATCATTGTCCAGCACAGGCTTCCTTGAGCATTGTCAGTCGGATCATTCGAAGTACCCGTGCATGACCAAAGGGTATAGTGTCATGGACAAAGAACCAGTGCTGCCGTACGTTATACCATCTTATTTGCAGTTGATCCAAGCACTGGCGCTTGTTAGCGTCTTGAGCTTACCAAGGAGGATGATGGAGCGCTGTTCGATGCAGGCCGCGCGTACGCGTAACCACTACTAGCCCCTCCGTAATGCATGACGTAGCGTGCCGAATGGCCCGTGTGGTACTATTAAAGTCGTTCGAATGGATTCTCTTCAAGCTCCCGAATCATCATGAAGAAGTCAGTTCTCAGTTTTGTGATTGATCAATGGTCAGTGGTGCCCCCAGTAGAGACAGCAAATCTGTCTGGGCAAACAGTTCTCGTCGTCGGCGCCAATGTAGGCATTGGACTCGAGGCGTCAAAACACTTCGCCCGTATGCGACCAGCGCGGTTGATAATTGCTTGTCGCAACGAGGCCAAGGGGAAGGTTGCTTTGGCTGGTACGCATAACCGTTCAGAACGAATTTAATTGAGACCATTGACTTTTATTTTACTGAACTTGAAGAAATCGAACAAGAGACCGGATACAATGGATGTGAACTCTGGATAGTCGACCTTGCCAACTTTGCATCAGTAGCCGCATTTGCTGATAAATTCGAGAAGGAGGGCGGCGATTTGCATATCCTGGTTATGAACGCAGGGATCGTACAGCCCGACTACCAGCTCACCATTGATGGCTGGGAGTCTGTGTTGGTCTATTTTATTTTTCTGCCCGCAGTTATTGCTTATGTCCACTCTTCAGACTACAAGTCAATCATCTTGCAACCTCGTTGCTTTCGTTGCTCCTCATTCCGCAACTAATTGCTGCGGGGAAAAAGTCTTCAACACCTTCACGAATAGTAATTATGTCCAGTGAACTCCACTACTGGATCACGCCCGCGAAAGAGGTCCAGGCCTCCTCGAAACCACTTGAAATGTTGAGCAGCCAAGAGTGGTGCATTCCCAAGTAAGTAGCAAATAAATTAAACTTCACCTCCATATGAAAATATCTTACTCGATATCTTTTAGGCACATGCAATCCCAGTATGGCGAGTCAAAGCGTACGTGCCTGCTATCTTCTCTACCCGCTTCAACCTGACAATTCACTCAGTGTTGAATGTCCTCTTCGTTCGCGCCTTAACGGACAGGTTGCAATCCGTCACACCACTCAGTGCCGTAGCCGTGAATCCGGGATATTGTTATTCACAACTACGACGTGTCTGGTACGAGACAACAACCTTTTCAGTTTCCAAAATAGCGCTCGCCATTCAGGAGCGTCTCCTGGCTTGGACGGCCGAACAAGGCAGCCGTCAGCTTATATTTGCTGCAGTGGGCGGACGAGACAATGAAGAGAATATGAAAGGTGGCTACGTAAGCCTTGGTCGCATCGTGGAAGTTGCCGATTTCGTGCTGAGCGACGAGGGCCATAAAATGCAAGATATTGTTTGGGTAGGAGTCCAAGTTTCATCGATGACTGACCTTTCTAACATCTTCCATCAGAAGGAGACGATAGACATTCTGAGCGGTGTTTCTGACAAGATCGGTCAAATAGTCCGGGATTATCTAGTAGTACCTGACTCGCCCATAAATTGACATGTATGTGACATGACTCTACTAGTCTGAGATGGACCTTACAGTGAAATATTTTTGACCGCATGCAAGTCTGGACCCAAGGTTGGTAAATGGAATGTTTCTGACAGTAAATGAATACATGGGAGGTATCATAGAGCATGCTCAACCAGTTTAGTAAATGTCCTCATGAGTCATGACTGATGCGAGGTGGGACGACGACGACCAAAGAAAAATCTAAAGAAAAATCCGCAGCAGCTCAATGCTTGATAACAAACATCTCCCATCCCACCACCTGCACCTTGCGTTCCTGTTGTCTGCCCTTGAGACGCTTGTGTCCCTGGCACAGCCTGAGATTGACCTGCTTGCGTGTCCGTCGGGAGTCCTTGAGACGACTGTGTGCTCGACACAGCTTGAGATTGACCTGCTTGTGTGTTCGTGTTCGTCGGGTGTCCTTGAGACACCTGTGTTCCCGACACAGCCTGAGATTGACCTACTTGCAGCGAATTGCCAGTGCCAGTCTCATTGCCATTCGTATGTTGCGCAGCTACTGCAGCCGCTTGTGCGCGGGCCAATTCTGCTGCGCTGGGAGGGGAAACATAAATTCTCTGCCAATGTATTAAGTTCCATGATATCAAAAAGGAACAATGGAGGTCACTCACATTTTTCTTCCGACCGGCAGCTACTTCAACGGTATGTATGGAACTTCCCCCTCGAGATAAGTTGAAATTCCAACGTCGGGGCTCGCGTGGTATTGATTGGAGTAAATTTGGAGGTTGCGTGCCGACGCGTGGGGAACTAAACAACCGACGAAGGAGAGACGACAGGCTTGCAGGGGGAGCTGGCCCACTGTTTGTATCGTTACCAAAGAAATCATTGCCCTGTATCAAATGAATGTTAGTCAAAGCTAAGAATCGAAAAATAATACTAACATATCTCCCCACACCTCTATTGTTTGCGAGCTGTCGTGAGGGAAAGGTCTGACAACATAAATCAGCGGAGGATCAGGTTGTTCACAACTGATTGGCGCACATCTCGCGGTCGGGTTTGACGTTTCTAGTAAAAAGGTGAGATCAAGTGTGAAGGAGATATAAAAGACTGGCTTACCTTGAACTTCGCGTCGGGCCTTGCATTGGCATCATCCATACCCTAAACAACAACAAAAAGCTTCAGAATAAAGAAAAGACGTCGAAATACAATGCAGATACGCACACCCTGCCGTTTGAATGCTGCCTCTACGCTCCATACGTAAATTTTTGCATCTTTTCCAGCGCTGACAATGTATTTTCCATCGGAGGACACGGCAACAGTCAAGAGTTCGTCGTCATGCAAGAGTGGGTCTCCGACTGGCTGATTGGTCTTGAGGTCCCAGATGCAAACAGAGCAGTCGCTTGATGCGCTGACAAGATGGCTTTGATCAGGGGAAAGACAGAGAGAGTTGACCATATTGTCATGACCCTGAAAAACAACGAGCTCCTTCCCACCAATCAACCGCCATTTTCGGATGGTGCGATCATACGACGCGGAGAAAATGTATGCGCCATCCCTGGACCAACACAACGACATCACGAGGTCTTCATGTCCTTTGATCTCGATAAGTAGCTCGCCGTTCTTTGACCACACACGAATTATGTTGTCCTCCCCGCTGCTCGTGAATTTGTCACCTTGTGGAGAGTATTTGACAGCATAGACCCAAGCGTGATCGGTCTCTATCGGTGGTGCAATTTGTCGGCCAGTATCCGGGTTCCAGCGTCGTATGGTGCCGTCGGTCGATCCACTTGCTATCTCCAGCGCATTGGGAGACCAATCGACGCACATCACGTGGCCATTGTGGCCCTCCCACGGATCGCCAACCATACTGCCCTTCTTTATGTTCCACAGTCGTAGTGTGCCGCCCCAACCTCCGCTCACAACCATAGTTTCATCGGGAGATACAGCTATAGAGCCTATCGGCACCCCGTGGCTATCCAAAGGTTTTCCTACTGATTCTCCATCTATTTTCCACTGGCAAATCGAACAGTCCTCCGACGCGCTCAGTACATTGCAACTGGTGCCCATGCAGGCAAGACTCCATATGGAGCGGGAGTGACCCTCGATGATGCACTCCGGCATCAAGCTCCAGGCCGGCCGTTCTAACGTCGGTTTCTTCCAGGACGTGGTCCGAGTGCTGTGGTTGACGAAGTAGGACCGACCGAGTGGTGAGATGTGCCATTCGCATTCACTAACAATATATCCAGGAACATCTGTGCTTTGTCATGAGTTCCTCGCTCCCAGTGAGACGTTCTTCGCTCACCTAGACGCACTCCTGGTAAAGGACGGTTCCATGAAGTCATGGTGAGCATGTGGTCTTGATATTGTGTTGAACCATTGAACACCTTAAACTGTTGCCATCCAGGAGGGAGCGCTTCATTCCCGCCTGCTTCTTGTCAAGTAAGTCAGTGGCCATCCTAATACGGTTTGCTCGCCTTTCCACAGAGCATTCTGCCGATGCTGTGCACCATATGGCGGTGGATCCTTCTCTCCCACTAACGGTCTGATATGTGCTGCTGAGCCTAACGGCGCTTCTCTTCCTCTGGCTGACGTGCTTGACTTAGCCTCTTGGTGGGGCATAACCCTGATTGATAAACCTTCAGATAATGCGCAAAATAAGAGTCGAAGAGAAGATATGATGGAGGTGATGAACGGACCTACTAAACGCTCAGATTTGGATGCTGTAGTTGCAGGCACCTTGCCGAAAACACATGTCAGTGACGGTTATGTGACTGATGGTTTTATTTCGATGCACCTCGGTTTGTTCCGTCTTACATATCACCACTTGTACCAGCGATTAAATCCATCAGCGAGCGCTAAGATATGGAATTCGCTTGAGCTTTATATATCCAAACACCTGGACAAGCAGTGAGAGTTAATTTCAATTGTGAGAAATGGACATGCAAACGCAGTTACACGCCCAGCCTGTGCTTCTGGGAAGTGTGACTAAAGTAGAGAGGAATACGTGGTATGTATACATACATTGTTATCGTGACATTCAACACCCGAGCGCAGTCATCCATGGATGGAAAACCATCCTAGTCAATATCCTCGAGAGCATTGACATACTCCCCATGCGTATCTAACGTCCAGTTCCGCACTGTTTTGTCACGACACCAACTCAGGTCGCCAACCACCTCCCGACGGCCGGATCACGTTCCCATCGAATATCAACTTGATTCCCTGCGAAGACCTTGCGCACCACTGAGAGCGGGGTTCCAGAAAGCAGAGTTGAGGGTGGTTGCAACGGGTGAATCTGAAGAAATTGGCGGAGGGGGAGGAAGGTACATGAGGAGATGGAGGACGCTTGAGCCGAGTGCACGGGTGAGGGTTGCAGTGGTGAATTTTGACTCTGAAAGGAGGAGCGCTACTATACCCAGTTCAAACACGTGTATGGAGAGCGGGCTTGAGCGTGTACTACATGCCATATGCCTTCCGTTCACGACTTTGGCGAAATGTCTTCTTTTTTGCTTTACATTGCGCGAGGATGTGTATACGTCTGCGTGAAGGTATGATTGGGGTAGACTGGGAATCTGAGCTCAGCACGAGTTTGCCTGTAGATGATGCAAGCAGTTGCAAGCATCGAAATTTAAGGGTGTGTGCAAACCTGGCACCAGTATGTACTATCTGGTGCCTATTTTACTGATTCCATGTCGTGGTATGCTATTACATGATGGCGTCGCTGTTGTTGATGGTAACGTCGTTACTTGAAGGACTAGCACTGGTCGATCGGATCACAGGCTTAAATTACTTAAGCATTGTCAAGATTATTGGGCATGACTAAAGGGTATAGTGTCATCCGTACGGTATACCATCTTAGCTAACACACGTTTTTGCAGTTGATCCAAGCACTGGCGCTTGTTAGCGTCTTGAGCTTACCAAGTAGGATGACGGAGCTATCCTGTTCGTTTGATGCAGGCCTTGACCACTCATCATGATTACTCACTAAGAGTAATGCAATGACCACTACCCAGCCCCTCCGTAATGCATGATGCGGTGTACCGAACGGGGTGTAGTGCTCTTAAAAGTCGTTCGAATTGGTTCTCTTCGAATCTAACAAAGCTTCCGAATCATCATGAAAAAGTCGACTCTCGCATATGTGATTGATCAATGGTCGGTGGTGCCCCCAGTGGAAACAGCTGATCTATCTGGGAAAACAGTTCTTGTCGTCGGCGCCAATGTAGGCATTGGACTCGAGGCATCAAAACACTTCGCCCGCATGCGACCAGCGCGGTTGATAATTGCCTGTCGCAGCGAGGCCAAGGGGAAGGTCGCTTTGGCTGGTATGTACAACCGTTTAAATTGAACTTGATGTGAGATGATTGACTTCTACTTGAAGAAATCGGACAAGAGACCGGATACAATGGATGCGAGCTCTGGATAGTCGACCTTGCCAACTTTGCATCAGTGACCGCATTTGCTGATAAATTCGAGAAGGAGGGCGGCGACCTGCATATCCTGGTAATGAACGCGGCGATCGCGTTGCCCGATTATCAACCCACTGCTGATGGCTGGGAGGCCGTGTTGGTCTATTTTATTTTTCCGCGCGCACTTATGGCTCATATTCACCCTTCAGACTACAAGTCAATTATCTGGCAACATCATTGTTTTCGTTGCTCCTCATTCCGCAGCTAATTGCTGCGGGAAGAAAGTCTTCAACACCTTCACGGATGGTAATTGTATCTAGTGGTGTCCTCTACTGGCTCACACCCGCACAAGAGATCAAGACTTCCTCGAAACCACTTAAAACGCTGAGCAGCGAAGAGTGGTGCATCCCCAAGTAAGCAAACGAATCAAACTTTACCTTCATACGACAATCTCATACTTGATCTCTTAGGCACATGCAATCCCGGTATCAAGAGTCAAAGCGTATGTGCCTCCTATGCTCTATTACCCACTTCAATCTGACAAACTCAACCAGTGTTCAACCTCTTCTTTGTTCGTGCCTTGACGAACAGATTGCAATCCGTCACACCACTCACTTCCGTAGCCGTGACGCCAGGATTCTGTTATTCACAACTACGCCGTGCCTGGTACGAGAAACCGACCTTTTCATTTGTCAAAATAGCGCTCGCTATTCAGGAGCGTCTCCTGGCGTGGACGGCCGAACAAGGCAGCCGTCAGCTTATATTTGGTGCGGTGGGCGGACGAGACAACGAAGAGAATATGAAAGGCGGGTTCGTAAGCCGTGGTCGCCTAGTGGAGGTCGCCGATTTCGTGCTGAGCGACGAGGGTCATGAAATGCAGGACACTGTTTGGGTAGGAGTTCAAGTCTGCCTTTCATTGATGACTGACCTTTCTAACACTTTCCATCAGAAGGAGACGATAGACATTCTGACCGGCGTCTCCGACAAGATTGGTCCGATAATCCAAGATTACCTAGTAGTACCTGACTCGTCCATAACTTGACATGTATATATGACGTATCTGCAGAATAGTGTACGCCTTTTGATATGTTGTTCTTTGTACTTGTCGACTCTTGCGATCTTGTCTCCTTTATGCCAGAAACAGTAGCATCTGCAGCTCTAGTATTATTTGTAGTTCAAGTCTGTTCAGGTAACCCAATCCCGGGGTGAGTTTCAGCCCATTCGAGACGTTCGTCCACCCAAGTCTCACGGTCATTAGAAGCCCAAACGCTGACCTGGAAGCACAACAGGTCTGTAAGCCGACGGAAAGGACGACCCATGTCATACGCCTCTCTCCACTCTGGGTATCGGGAAGACCCTTCCATTGCTGAAAGAAAAGCAGCACGCAAAACATTCCTTTCTTCGCTGGTTCCGCCTTCGTAGCTGGATTCTGGGTCATCCGCATCTTGAAGCCATCGTGGGATCACTGCGCATTCCCATAGAGGCGCAATGGTAGCTGCTTCAAAGTCGATAAAGCCAGTCACTCGACCTGAATCAGTATCGATCTACCACACGCATGTGCGTTGAAGATAAGCATCATGAGGGGCATGCAATGACGTACCATGACATTTGATAAACGGAAGTCGTCCAACTTTAAGGAGAATGGTTTTCGTGGAGTGGTGATGTTGGCAGGTACCAACGTATCACCGGGATAAACAGAGCATAGATTAATAGCCTTTCTCATAACACGCTCCCCGAGTTCAAGTTGGCTTTCTGCCGGCTCAGTAGTGTCGCATTCGTGAAGCTCCGAAAGAACGTCCGAACGGTGATTGGAGATAAAATCGAGTTCTGCTCGTAGATTGCTTGAAAGATATTCAGTTACGGTAGAGAAAGGACCTCTGTTGGGATCGACGTTTTTTGAGATGGGCGCGCCGAGGACTCGAACAACGCCATCAAGAGCACGGTAGAACGGCGTGCTGATTATTGGTCCGACGAGGAATTGAGGTGAAAGCGGGCTCAAGTAGAGAGATCCTGCGCTTTCGAATCGAAGAGAGAATATCTCCAAGAAATAGCGTGCAATCTGCGACACTACGGTCTTCTTCACCTCCTCGGAGAGATCCCCCCAGCTATGGCTAGCAGGGATCCCTTTAATCTTGATTTTGCGATGTATGAGTGAAACATCCCACACGGGACACATTAGATTTGGCAACCTACTTTATCCAAGATCATGTATTCCGCTCCAACAGGACTTGACGCGTCAGAGTTCCATGCATGGATTCGTGGAACAGGTATATTTGTGAACGCAGCGATCATCTTGCACGTCGCAACCTTTTGAAAGAACATAGAGTTTTCAATACCAATATGAATAACATACAACGCGTATTCCTAGCTACCTCCGATTCAAGCTTGTCCTTTGGAAACGCAGGAGAGGCCACTCGAACGACAGCATCAAGAGAAACACCATCCAATCGCAAGATATCATATACCTATAGAATATCAAACATAACCTATGCTATGTAATGCCAGACGGACCTTGTGATAACCTCCTTCAGCCAGTTTCTCCAGCTTGCAACTTGTCAAGAAATGAAGATCAACGACCGATTGCAATTCGGCAAGGCTAAAGGAATCCGGTTCGCCGTCTCCATCGTACGAAAACGTAGACATTCGATCATCATCGAGATCGCCCATATGTGCTGCAAGAGATCAGGTTTGAAAGAGTTCTTCGTGAATCGTGATCACTAGCACTGGTACTGATGGCGTAGTATGTCAGAAGGTGTGGGAAACTTTGTACGGAGAACTACACGCAGTTTGAATCAGTCGGATGATGCTAGCCCCAAGCCAGGCCTAATCCGGGGCTTGCAGGCCGAGCTAGGCCCAACCGTTGAGTCGGACTTGAGCGAGAACTTGTCTTCGATTGGGGAAACATAAAACGATGTTAACAGTTACATACACCGAACTAGTACGGTTACCAGTACTATTATTCACTCGAGCGGCAAGCAACATTGAGGATATTCAAAACCCATCCTACTGCGTACAGCCTCACGACCCACCATACCCATCGTCTCCTTCAAAGTTCCAGACTGCTTTCAATATACATATATTATGTGCTTCCTGTAGAAAGGTATGCATGATGTAGAACCAATGACAGTGATGTTTGTTTTGGACGTACCAATTTCTCTTTACTTCTTACTCTTGATGGCCTGGCCGGCGGCCTCGCAAGCGGAACATGACTCCGTCTGGTATTTCACCCATTTCTTGTGGGTGATATTCTGTGTTACACCTCCCTGCGTAGTAGCTGACCCCTTTCCCTCGCAAGTTTCGGAACATTTGGGGCAGTAACCAAGTTTTGCGGCTCTCTTCGTAGACTTGCCACATTTGCAGTGATGAACACTGGGGTAGGGTGGCATGGTAAATGAGATTGGATGTTGGTAACTGCGATGTCACTTGGCGTGAGGGTGTTATAGAAAAATGGCTCAGTAAAACAGAAGAGTGGAGAGTGCAGTCCCAGCAGTGGCTTTATTTAAAGGGTCAGCAACAATGGGATACTGATCGAAACTTGTAATAAGTACGCCACTAAGTGTGGGGCAGCAACGGTACCTGAGCTAGTAAGCCAGAAATATGTCGCAGAATCACAGAAGAGTCGGTACTTCAGTACTTCAGTGCGCACCTGGTCCTCCAAGATATTATTGCAATCCGAGTCAGCTGTCACGAAGATCAAATTACTTCCTAGTCACAAGACGTTAGCCGCAACACGGCGCAAAGCATATCGCACTGTCCAATTTCAAACCCAGGCCTAGACGGATGGGTCACGAGTCTAGGTGGCTGTTGGCATACATATGTCGTGTCATGACTGTGGCAGGTCGCGTCAATTTCACCTGGCTCACCTACGCCTTCCATTGTACGAAAACGTAGACATTCGATATCGCCCACGCTGGGATTTGAAAGAGGTGATGTCAGAAGGTGTGGGAAACTTGCCCGGGAATTTAATAGTCATATTATGTAACGACAACTTGAAGCGCAGACTGCGCTCAGCCATCAGCAAAAGTGTCCAAACCTAACGAGGCCTTGGAAGGCCTAACAAGACCATACACGACCTTGCGAACATTGGAAGGCCTGTGATGCCTCGCGAGGAAATAGCCCCATCTTGGATGGCCTTCTGAGAGCACATCTAGGATGGCTTTTCGAGGGTATGCTAGGTAGGTTGACCTTGCGAGGCTGCTAAGGCTGTCGAAGCTTGCAAGGGTATACCAGGCCTTGCTAGATCACTCGAGACTTGTGTACATTAGAAGGCCCCAAGAGGCATTGCATTAGCATAGTAGTAACACTGGTAGCTAAAATACATGAATTGCATGAAGTCCATATGGTAAAGTCCAAAGCGGGCATTAAGTCTGTGTCAGCACAAGCAGTAAAGCGAGAAACAGAGAACGAAAGTGCAATGAGAGAGCCTCGGAAATGCAGTCCTAATAGCCATTAGCCCTCTTTCATACAAAGGTTCTTCAAGGAGCATCGGGATCGGTGATTTTCTTCCTCCCTCTCTTCTTTGTGGGAACAGGAGCTGTTGGAGTTGGCGGGGAGAAGTTGTTGTCATTGTCAGTCAGATCTGACAGTGCACATACTTCAGTCATTTCAATGCGTAGAACCATGGCTCTGGACATGCAAAAACCCCATAGAATCATGGCCAGCCAGCCACTGGCCGGAGCTCTCGGCCATCTAGTATCTACACTATTCAAGTACATGGCTGGCCTGTGCATATATATAAACATTAGGATTATTGTAATCAAAGTAGTAGTAGCTAGCCTTATATGCCTACATATTATATATGTAGATTGGTGGCTGGCCAGACATGATTTTCTGAATTGCATGCTGGCCTGCTAACACCTACCAGATGTAGGATCATGACTAGCTGGCTATTGGTGAGTAGTGTGATAATGCAGACACCAAATTACAATATGTAGGGCCTTGGCTGGCCGGTCATTAGGGAATAATCTGCATGCTGGCCTGCTGACATTTATAGACCTAAATATCAAAGCCAGTCAATTTATTGTAGAGCCATGGCTGGCCAGTCACTGTTAAATATTTTCAATGCTGGCCTGCTTGAATGTATGCCATGTAGGCTCATGGCTGGCCGATCACTGTTAAATATTTTCAATGCTGGCCTGCTTGAATGTATGCCATGTAGGCTCATGGCTGGCCGATCACTGTTAAATATTTTCAATGCTGGCTTGCTGGCATTTATGCCATGTAGGCCCATGGCTGGCCGATCATTGTTAAATATTTCAATGCTGGCCTGCTGGCCTATCACTGTTAAATAAAAGCCATGACCATGTAGAACACATGCTGGCCCAACCTATATAGTCCACTATATGTAATAGATTAGCACATTGTAAAAGCCATGGCCATGTAGAAGACATGCTGGCCCAACCTATATATAATAAGATATACTAGTAAAAGCCATGACCATGTAGAACACATGCTGACCCAACATATATAGTCCACTATATATAATAGATACCTCAGTATCGGCCATTGTGGATGTACACCTGTAGAGTACTGTAGGCCGGATATAAAAGTATGAACTCAGTATCAGCTGTTGTGGTTGTACAGATGTAGAGCCCACACTGGCTGGCTGGTATTGTAGATCTAAGCTCATAAACTTGACAGTGAGATTCTGCATTAACCAGATATATGACAGTACTGGCCATTTGAACTAGTGAGGTGGTAAGGTATATACATACAGAATATAGTTCCAACCCAGCCAGCCATAATCTACAGTAGGTATTATCCCACTGGCCATGACTGTGGTGATAATTCTGGGTTGGCCGACTATATTCTACAGTAGGTATACCCCCACCGGCCAAGACTGTGGTGATAATTCTTGTATCGGCCGACCATATTCTACAGTAGGTATACCCCCACTGGCCAAGACTGTGGTGATAATTCTGCATTGCCCATTTTTCTTATATTACAGTAAAGTCACAAGTGGCATTTTGACTAAGGAAGAACTAAGCATACTACATACATACTATAAATTTGCATTTTTCTTGGTAGGTTGCCTTGCCCTTGTAGAACGTCGCATTGCAGGCTTAGCCTTAACTGACTTCTTGGACTTGTTTGAAGAAACCTTAGGCTCAGTCTTCGCCCTTTTGGAGTTTCGAGAGGGGACTTGGGTTCTTGTTCTCTTCTTCCCAGTCTGCTTCACTTCGACCTCCTCCTCCTTGTTACAGTAACATGGCACGAGTCCCCCGCCAGCAGACAGCCCTCTGCCACCGCAAGGCTATAGACGATACCGGAGCCTCACCAGCTCTATAGACGATAACCGGAGCATCACTGGCTCTGTGACGACAGATGATGACAGATGACGATAGATGATAAGCGGCAACTGCTGGCTTAGATAAGCGGTCTGGACCGCACGTGACATGACATGACGACATAGGTCTAGAAGACCTATTAATGTTATCAAGATAGAAGGTACACCTCGTGCTGCCTCGAGGATGATAGAAGGCAAGCCTCGTGCTGCCTCATGGACAGATAGAAGATAGAAGGCAAGCATCGTGTTGCCTTAGATAACGATAGAAGGATACCACGTGGATCCTATCTCTGATGGAAGTGTACCGCATGGACGCTATCTACGATAGAAGCCCGCCTCATGGACGCTATCTCTGACTCGAATAGATAAGCAGATTAGAACCCAGCTTAGAGCTGAGCTTAGATACGATAGAGTAGCCTTATATAAGGTCGAAGATTACAAGTAGACGTTCCTTACTTTAATCTTACTAGGTTTACCCTTGAACTCCTTGTCCTGCTAAAGCTACCTGCTTGACATCGACTCGTACCTTCAGTGACGCCTCTCACTGTCTGGAAACCCGCTATCATCTCGGCGTAACCCCTCGTTAACCACCACGAGCTACGTTCGAGTACGCAACCTTTGCTTGTCTGTAAAGGCCGACGACTCTCAGCACTCGGTACCACTGTCGTGGTTGTTGCTGTTTAGATCATCCTAGTCGCACACGACCGTTTGTCGTATCACTCCTCCACTTCAGCGTCCTTTTCCTTTTCCTTCTCCTGCTCCATCTCTATGTCCTGCACCTTAGCTGACACCTCACCTTGCTTGCCTTCTGTATTTTCATCTTCCTCGTTCTGTAGATACCTGTCCCTCATCTGCAACTCAATGATGCCCACTACAGAGGACAAGACATCAGATACTGCCCCCTCCAGGAGATGTAAGAATGATAAATCGAAGACGAAGTTGGCAAGGTACGCAGGGGTATCCAAAGGGGCCTCATCTTCCTCATACTCGATCACTCGTTTACACTCCCTAAAGAGCATACCCAATCCTAACACCACAGAGATGGCTGATGTTGCATTAGAAATATTGGCCGTCCTAAGTTTCTTCAGGCTGGCTTCTAGCATCTTCTGAGATTCATGAATGTCCTTTGGAAGATAATCATGCCTCCAGGACCATTTAGCCCAAGAGGGCCAGTCACTATGGTCGGTCTTTTGAACGGTGAGTATCCAACTGTTCAATCAAAAATTCAAGTTACTCACCATCTGTTCAGAGGATGTTGCCAAATCCTGAGTGGCATCCACCAATTCAAGGTAGTTGTCATCCATACTGAGGCCTCGTAAAAACACCCATCGTTCATCATAGACCTCATTGAAGAGGACACTGGCAGGGGCAATGGATAGAGAATCACCGGCCAGCACAATCCTACCCTTGGTAGAATCTGAGCTAGCCAAGTTCACCTCTGCTTCGTCAGAAGAAAAAACTTCTACATAGTCCTTCGTTTTTCTCTTCTTTCCTTCTCCTTTGTCAGCTACCTTTGTCATCTTATCACTCTTCTTTGCATTTATAAAAATGACCAGCTTCTTCCTTGCAAGGCTTCGGCTCTTCCAATGGTGCCAGAGAGAACTTACATCCTCTAACCTCATGTGCGAAGGGTCTCTCACCACCAATGTCTCAGGAACACAAGTGGCCTCCAGATAGTGAGGGGCATTAGCAACAATCTGCCGCCAAGGTACAGGTCTATTGCTCTTGGTGAAGACCTCTATGGACCAACAAATTAATCAAATGTAAGTTAATTAAAACTTCAAACTTACTATACGAAGCGAGAAAAATGTTTCTAATCAAATCCTGTTGTCCCCTGAGAGCCACACCCTTACGAGATGGGAGCTTTGCATAGCCTTCTTCATCCAATATAAGTTCTGATTCGGCCTCAGCCTTGTCTGAATCGTCTATCTCTAAATCATCCTGATCTTCATCTGTAGGATCTATTTTATTAATGAAAACTCATGAGTCTATACCAAGTATCACAAGTAGAATATAAAACGTACAGAATTCAGTCTTAGACCATTCTGCAAATAATTCAAAACCTGTTGAAGACCACTCCTTGATACCGTCAGAGCTGACAGAAATTTTTTTCTTGACACTCTGCGGTTTAGATTCATGTCTAAATTTTATTATTAGTCTGGCAAATGATATAGGTAATACAGAAACTGACAAGGTAACAGCCAAGGACTTATCGGTCTTCTTCTTGTGACTGACTAGCATTACAACTCGGCAACCCATGGTGTGGCGTAGTTCCTCCGAAATTTCTTCAAGCTTTTTCTTGAGATTATTCTTCCGATAGCTTTGAATCAAGTCAGCTTAAATTGAACATCCTGTAATATGACCACTTACACAGCCTGAATTTCCTCAGGAGCACCTTCCTTGTTCCATTTCTCCATTGCATCTTTAACCTCTTTCTCTTGCTCAGCCGTCATCTTCTTAAACCACTCTCTGGCATGTCCCATCCTATGCTTGATAGAGTCATCCAATTCTTTCCTCGCCCTCTCTGCCTTGTCGTAGTCATCAATCTCCTGCTTGAATAACTTCTGCGCGACATCCCACTCATTACATTCTTTCTTGTAGAATACTGCAGTTTTGGGATGTGCAGCTGCTTCTCTTTCCTCCACTGTCACAACAGGTTCATCCTCCACATCTGGCTCAGCTTCTTTATCTGATTTCTCAGAGTCAGAGTCAATCATCTCGTAGTAATATGTTTGAATAGCCTGTACATAAAAATAAATATTGATGATATCAATTATCCACAGAGTTTCTTAAGTACCTTTTTCAAAGAACTCGGCAAGGTCACTCCAGGATGATCCCCCTGAGCTTTAAGAATAGCATTTTTGACTTTTTTCACCACATGAGAACGGTGTGTTGAAGAGTCTTTGTTGGACTGGAAGTCCTGTTCAAACTGATCAAGAATAGATTTAAACTTCAGAGTCCAATCAGAAGACATGATCCTGAGAGTGTATACAAATGTCAAGGATTGAGATTTGGTAGGTAGAGGCACACTTAGTGTATAACATTGGTGGCCAGACACCAACATAGTCATGTGACCGCGTCTGGGGTCATGTGATCGTGTTTGACCTGCAATATTTGCTATGTATGGACAAGTCTTCTATCAAAGCGCTACAGGAAAGCAAGAGTGGAAATCATGATTGTAAGATGAACTAGGTAGACTATCTACCAACTGCAAAACTGCTAATATCAATGGTAAAGACTAAGCGGCGGTCACAAAGGGATCTCAATCCAACTGGAAACACGAGTTTTGCCTGGTATAAGCACCCTTGAGTTAGCTGGCGCACTAAACACAAAACCCCTCCTGCAATTTTCACCCTTACACTCAAACGAATATTCCTTCTGGTGGTTAGCAGAGTTCCAAGCGTCTACCAAACCACAGTCAGGGCACTGAAGCGGCAGGAAATTGCCCCAAGGGCAGAGGTGAGAATGAGTCCAGCAGTATCTGAAAACGTCAACAGAGTTGATGTCGTGCTTTAACAGCAAAAACATGTCTGAATGGCGGCCCAGCTTGTAGGACTGGCCTAGCATGTTGGGGAATGCTTGTTGAATAGAGTGACATTGGATGAGGACGAGCTCGCAGAAAGCAAGCAAGAGATGAGCTGAGAAGCTTGGTTGGAATCGGACAGCGTTGAACGCTATGGCAGCTGAAACGCCATGACTATTCCAATCAAAAAAGTAGTGTTAGCGCTGAGCAACAAATGAGTGGAGTACTTACTGGGCAACCGAAACACGCAAATTAGAAAAGGATTCTGCATTGTTGACCAGCGCCCCACAAGAAAAGAGCCAAAGGAATGATTCCGGCGTGCGATCAATGAGAGCCTGCCATGGTCCAAGAATGATGGCCAAAAACTATGACCAGTGAGAAATGCAAAGATTGAAAACGAAAATACGCACATCATGAACTGGAGTAGCAACATATGTCTTTCTTTCATACCCTACAAATGGGTCTCCAGACGAGTTGTCAGTATGGTTAGATATACCAAAGACAATGCGGCTCCAGGTGGTACTAGATAGTTTGTCCACCAGGGCCGCCATGCTGTCTTCGTATGTCTTGACCTTGGAGGTGGTACCAACATCAAAAGTTACCTTGTGGTACTCCATGCCGGCGTTGGGAAAGTATGGCATCAAAAATTGATGCGTGAGTTCGAATGAGGTACCAATGGTATCATAGTCCACCAGGGTGAGATGAACGAAGAGGAGAGTGTCGGAAGAGAGTTGTGATGTCACGTTGATCTCGAGGGCAGCGCGGATAGGGAGGAACGAGTCCAGTACCGGCTTGTTGTTCCTATAGAAACCCTTTTGTTTGATGGTGTATCAATATACAAATCAAAAAAGACTTGAAAACTCACAAAGTATGGCGCCAAGGCATTGCCTCCTTGGCGCTGTCCTGTAACGTGACAGCAGATACAGCGAAAGGTCACATGCGGTGCACGGACAGCTTGCGCAAAAGCAAGGGGAATCATGATGCAGTGGGTGCAGACAACGCATGGACATTCATCGCACAACAGGAGAAAGTCGTCGTCCACAGAACCATCTCTGCAAATTATACAGAACTAATGAAATATGTCAACCGTTCAATAAATAAAAAATTAAGACTCACATCATTGTGGCGAAATCCTTCGCAAACTTCAACATCATCCTGTCGCCCAACAGCCGAACTATTTCCTGCAGCGCTGCCTATCAGTAACCTCACACGACCTGCTGATCCGCCAGTGGCCTTGCAGGCTGTTTGCTTTGTTCTGGCCATGGACACGTCGAATGTGGTTAAGAGGCGACCGGCAAAAGCCGAATGGTAATGGTGAAGCTGGATTTGAACGAGAAGACAAAAGAAGGTGGTAGTGGACTTAGGATGTTGACGCGTTCTGAACAATGGACCAAATAATAATAAATATTCCGAATTTGGATTGTGTGGAACGCTGAGTGTGAATTTTGTTGTAGAACAAACAGTTACAAAGTGATACATTTATCACACTCAAGTTCAACTTCCCACAGTTCAACTTTCTGTCCTCCTTCCTTCACCACAACATCTATCATCCATCTTGTCATTGTTCTTGCCATCACTATCTATTGACACAACTTGAAGGCTATCTTTGGATCCTTGCAGGGGCTGCAGCCCTGCAAGGACCCAAAGGTTCTCCCTCAAAGTCGCCTCTGAGTACAGTAAGTGGCTTTCCTTTGTGCGTTCACTTACTGACCTTGCCTTTTTCAGTACTTCAAAATATGTAGCGCAGGTAAGTCAATCCTTTTACGGTCCCCATATGCTAACCTATCTGTTTTAGATCTGAGTTGTCCTTAATGGCATCTCTTTTGCTGTTATGCCGGTGTCCCTTTGATTGTGTCATCTTTTTGTTGGTGAGTCCTTGATATTCGTCCAATGGTACTGACACTTTGTTCCTAGATTTATGTCTCTTATTGTCAGGTTTTTCTCTTATTCTGACCGGCGTCTCTCTTCTGATGCCATCTATGATGGTGAGTGATTGATCTCCGTCTCATAATGCTGATGATGTTTTTCCAGACATAATTCTATTGGTTCTGGGGGATCTATTTCACGCAGTGCATGCTACTTAGTGTAGCTCCTGCGCTTTGGGTCTGGGGGCCATACTTGCCGCAGTGCATGCTACTCAGTGTAGCTCCTGCACTTTGGGTCTGGGGGCTATACTTGCTGCAGTGCATGCTACTCAGTGTAGCTCCTGCACTTTGGGTCTGGGGGCTATACTTGCTGCAGTGCATGCTACTCAGTGTAGCTCCTGCGCTTTGGGTCTGGGGGCTATACTTGCTGCAGTGCATGCTACTCAGTGTAGCTCCTGCGCTTTGGGTCTGGGGGCTATACTTGCTGCAGTGCATGCTACTTAGTGTAGCTCCTGCACTTTAGGCTGTGTGGCGCATTGCTCCCCTTTGTGTGGGTTGTGCTTTTGGTGCCCGGTGTATGTGAGTCCTTCTCCTGCCCGCAGTTTTCTTACTGATTCTCCCTGCAGATCAGTGATTCCATTACATTTTAAAGTTAAGTGCTCTACTTCATTTGACATTCATGATCTAAAATATTTCAAACGCAGGATTTTTGTAGTTTACGTTTAGTATTAGTTTTATTATCTACTTTTCTATTGGAACCAAGGCTTGGGTGAGGAGGGCCCCCTCACTCAAGTATTGCGTCTCCCCTTTGATTTCTTATAAATTTTGTAGTAGTTGATATAAATTGTCTTATTACTTTGTTGTATGGCGCAAATGGACATCCTTTGACTAATTTTTTGCTGGCCGGAAAAGTCATGTGACCGTTGACCTGCACCAAACTGGTTCGGTGCATGGATGACTAATGCTCTCCCACGAGCCCGATACCCTAGAAATCATTATGAACAATCTTCCTTTACTTTATGGTTCAGACTGCAGTTCAGATAGTATTTTCATTTCTCAGACAGACTCAGATAGGCTGAATATTCTTGTATATTTAATTTTGCGGTAAATTCTGCTTAGTCAGCAATAACAATGACTCAGACTGAATCCCACACATGTCAAGTAACAGTGTAAAATAGTTCTTGCATAAGTTGCCTTGTGGGAACTTTCTTAACACTCTAAATACATGGCTCGCGTCATTTCTACGGTCAATAAAGTAACATCATAACAAGACACCAACAAATAACACAATCAGTCTGTTACTTAATATTTGTCACATGATACTAAGTTATACGACTCTAACAGTCAGGTGACCTATGCCAAATCATGACAAAGCAACCTTTTGAGATGACTAAAGCTTGATGACACAAATTATAAAGCACATGACTACAGTAAATAGTATTGGTACAATCTGACTAAGCCTATTCCCCTTAGAACGTGGGAAATAGTAACACAGCCACCATAATTTATCTATATAAGACCCCACTTTTTGCCAATAAAAACATGCATATAGGGAACTTTTAAGCCCCACAAAATAAATTTGAGTGTGAAGTGTGATCAGTATCAACAACAGTGACAAGAGCTGTTAAGCAACTAACTGAGAGGTCATTGTAAGCAACATCCAGCAATACCTTTAGCTCATCATCAACAACTGTCAAATATCTTGAGCTCACTGTGCTCAACAGTGAGCAAAACTTTTTCTTTGATTTTCTACTGGTGAACCTCTAGTCTCTTTCTTTTCTTTTCTTTCTTCTTTTTCTCTTTCTTTTCCTGTTTCTTTCTGTCTTTTTTTCATTTGTCTCTTTTTCTGTTCAGTTCGTTCACGTCTTAGTGTTATTGTCTGAATTTGTTTCAAGACCTTTGTGTTGTCTTTACGTCCATCTAAGCACCGGCTTAGTGGGAAGACTTCAGAAGTTGATAGTGACGCTTGACCTCACTCATCTGAGTAGTGATACTGAGCCAGGGTTTTCTTTGTCTGCTAGACTTTAGTTGTTGAATAGGGGACTTGGTACTGAAATCCAAGGACGTCCGTTCCTGATTCTGTTTAATACTCATCGTGAGTTCCTTGGCAGCAGGTTCAATAGTGAACTAAGAGTTCTACTGATCACTGATTAGTCCTGACCTTTGATTCTACCTGTTTGTGCTGAGGGGGTGATTGTTATAATTTCGCACAACTTTCTATAGTAAATTTATTACGAGAAGCATTGTTACTGAAGGAAGGGTTTCTCTTACCAGTCTATTTCTTTTTTTTTATCAGTACCATACTGTTGGGCTGACTTTTCTTTGTTCTCTAATCACTGCCATACTGTTGGAGTGAATCATTTTCTTTTTGTCATCACCATACTGTTGGGCTGACTACATTCTATTTATTTTATTTTCTATTGCGTCCATACTGCTGGATTGACTAGTATTGCTACTGACCTCACAGGAAGTACTTTTGTCTGAACATAGCTTAGGGAAGTGTAAACAGCCACCCACGAACAACCACATTATCAGTCATTGGTATTTGTCTGAATCGCTGACCGTGGAGATTTTTGATTTTGTAGGTGTTTATCTATAGATCATCTATCTAAGAAGACACCGCACTTCGGACTATCTTCCTTTTGATATAACTGATTATTCTAATACCAACAGCAAGCCCCTCAGGTCGAATGCACTTGTCTTGCAAGTATAAGCAGACTAGGCTGTGCACGACCACAACATTTTTATATTGCTGGCTACTTACTTCGTGTAGTGCCCAGCTATTGTTGTATCTCTACATCGCGCATTTCAACGAGCATTTTGATTCCACCTTTACCTGATTGTACTCATTCGACTACGACCCAATTCATCCTGTGATTTAGGCCACATGTAAATTACTTTAAAAATAACAGAGCTAATTTCTGAGCTATCTTGTCATGCACCGTCGTCAATTACAAGTCTGCAAAGCTATCCTCCTCGAACTCGTTCATCACATCCTCCCCATCTTCTGGACCGAAGTCATCAATCTCATTAGTTTCTTCATCTGCACCATCCTCGTCGAGGACTTGATCAAGGCCAGAGTATCCATATTCATCCATCTCGTCAGCAACAGTGTCGTCTACCATCGCTTCAAAGGGAGCTGAAACTTCATCCCCGTCCTCGTCGTCTGTGCTGTCTGTCTCCTCGCTATCATCTGTTTCCTCCTCGCTATCATCGCCACTCCCATCATCTCCATCCTCCTCCATATCCTCATCTTCTTCAGAGCCCTCATCGAATTCTGATCCATGGCGCTCTTTCTCTCTTTGGAAGGGGATCCTATCCAACTCATGACAATCATCAAGCAGGCATGACGTCTCTCTTCGTGTGGATTTGTGCCCCACACTTCCTCCACGGAAGCGCATGAACATGTCTCGGTCGACGAACCTGGTAATTTATCAGATTTGATTCATGTCGTTAGTGGGAAATAACTGACATGTTGACACAGTACCAGTCCCAATCCTTGTTATTGTCAGCTGCTTGACGGGCAATGGATGGTCCCAACAGTGCCGTCGTACGTAGATGTTGAAAGGCTGGGATAAGTTGAATGCCACGAACGACAAGGTCAGGATTGAGGAACCCAAAGGCTGATTCATCGTTTCCGTCGTAAAACCCAACTCGTGGCAGCTGTTTTGCTGCCCAACCTGTTGGTGCAGTGATGTCACGAGTGAACCAGCAGACCCACAAAAAGTCGACACGCTTTATAGTGGGACGTGCACCTTGTCTCATGTAGCGGATATTGGCATGAAAGATGCCAATAACCTGGGCATACCAGTATGGATGGGAGTCTTCCTGATCATGGGCAAGAACCATGATGTCTGCATGCATGCGGGGATTGAGGGAGTCCTGAGCGCGCCGCAAGTCATAGGTAGTGTAGTTGACACAAAGCACTTTGTGATGATAAATTCGATTGTTGATAATTGCAACAGAGTTTCATTGTGCTGCACTAAATGAAGTCTCATCCCCGTCATAGTCCAGTCCTGACAAGCGACCCAGCAGGTGATCTTTGAGATGTGGAAGAAAATTCTAATTACATCCAGTGAGCAAATACATTTGTCATTTTACGAGTTTCGGAGACCTACCTTTGTGGCCTGGTCATTTCTGTTCTTTCCCAGCCAGGAAGAAATATCCCAGTAATGTTTCTGTGATGAGGACATTTGGTAGTGGATCTCTGGTGAGCAATGCGGCAGTGGGTCCTGGTCAACGAAATGAAGAGATGGACGGAGATCTTCAGTCTCAGGCTGTGCGTGATTCTCTTGTGCAGCTGCCCTTTCACGGTTCACCTCTTTCATCCTCTGCAAAATGCACTCACAATGCTGAAGTCTTGCAATTCCTCGTGTGAACTTGTTCTTGTTGGTCCGT